TTTTTTTTGTGTGATTCTATATGCGTGTAGTACTTTTGTGATACTCAGTTTTTAGTCCAGACGTTTTATCGTTCTTTTCTTTTTCTTTTTCTTTTCTTTTTGTCTATGATTGAATGAACAAAAGAAAAACCTACATATGTATATATATATATACAGTGCTGGGCATAAGTTCCTCACTTATTACTTCATCCTAATTATTATAGAAGCCACACGATTGAAATTTTGTGTCGATGTAGTCTACGATAAATGTTGATCGTTCATTGATACGGAAGAAAACCATGTGATGTCATTGTGAGATTGATCACGGCTCAATGAAAGTTGAACGAATTCATTTGGAATTTTCAGAGTATAGTCCCACACAGCTGTCTGTTATTATCACAAAGTTTTAGAAACAAATATTGTACTAGAAGAACAAGATAAATCAGTGATCATTGAATTAATTTGAAGACTTAAAATAGTTTAATTCTGAAGCAGAGATAATTGTTTGTTTACTGATTCATTTTTATATTAAACTATTGAGAATTAATTAGAATATGTACTGCACATATGGAACATTTATAAATTCTAAACGATATACGTCTGTCTCTAGTGGAGACAGATAAGTTATATTATCTTTTCAATGAGTCGTAATCTGATGTTACAAGTTTCTATATAATACTGTTTAACATACATTGAGATAGAATGATTATGTAGCATCAGTAATAACAATTACAAAAATATGCAATTTTATATCTAGTGATAAGTAGTAGAGCAACTACTGAGGAGAAATTATATAAAAAAATATTCAATCAAAATCTTGAAAATCTCAAATAAGATTTAATTTTCTCTATCAAAGTTCATTTCAAATACGATACCGAAATACAGCTATTAATTATTTGTTAACAAGATTTCAAGAAAAACTGGATTTTACCATAGAATCTCTAAAAGATATCAGCTATATTTTATATGCAATTTAATCATTCTATGAAGTTTTCATGTGTCAATAATTATCGTAGAGCTATATTAATGTAGTTAATACAAATCATGGAATTGATTCCAAAATTATACTTGAAGGTGCGAAAGTTTCGTAGATCTCCTGACAGTTGTTAAAAGTTCGAAGAGTAGAGTCTGTTGCACTAAAATAATTTGAATGATGAATCTTGATCTATACAACAGACTTTACTATGAAGTTATTTAACGAAAGCCTAGTAGGTGAAGCAAATATTTAAGAATAGTTTTATGCCTTCGCGTGGAAGGTTAGAATTTAAAAACGAAAAGTTGCTTGTATATACTGTCTGACTATTTTACATTAATATATCTGAAAATTTATTGTACAATGTCCTGTTGATAAAATGCATTTATTCAATTGTACCCACCAAAATATTCTCGACTAATTAATGTTGTATACATATAAGTTTATAACTATATATTATTCACGTGTTTAGCTTTGTTTACTATTGCGTTTAATTAATATATATATATAACTAAATGAGGGTGAAGCTGAATGCCTCCTTTATCAATCTGAAATTTGATTAGTCGATTTGTGATGAAAGTTACTTGATTCTTATGACTGAATAAGATATTTTTATTCAACTTTAAGTAATCTCTTTATTAATTTAATATAAAAATTATGCATTGTATTGTCATATTTCTATCAACATCTCTACTTTGATTTGACTCTATCAGTACACAACACAACATACACTAAGTATAGATATATCTCTGGATATATATATAACTAGCGTGACATACGTCTGATATCAAGACAAAGATAATCACAAGTCAATTTTCTCTTATTCTATATTTCATATATGTATCTTGACTTTTCCTTAAAATCTTTCTCATATCATTTGTTTCTATTATAACTTTTCTTTCGTCTTTTTTTTTCTTCATTAAATTCTCATTTGTCTTGATTTATACAGCTTTCTCTATTTATCTCATCATCGATTGAAAACATCATTAGTATCTACTGAGAACGTATCAGATAGCATCATCTTCTAATTGAATTTTACGGTCTCATATACAATTGTGTCATTAGATTACGTTTATATATATATACACAGAGTAGACTAATATTGAGTAATGATCATGGCAAATTGATCATAAGACTGAGAAAGTTTCTTTATTGTTTTATATATATATCTATGCTATCAGTCTGACGTTTGAGTTATTTAATTGGTTGATTGAACTCGTATATCTTCATCAACTAGTAAAATGTCAACACATTCTTGAGTCTAGATACAATTATATCAACAGTTAGATTTTCATTCTTTATAAAATACGATATGTATAATGAAAAATCTACAAGAAAAAAAAAATCAAAAGTTTTCTGAAACTCTCCATTAATTTCGATCGTCGATGTTTTTTTGTCTTCTTATTTACGGCAAAGAATTTTTGTATAATTAGATTTTGATATGATTATGCTATTTGATTGGTAGAAAACATACGACGAAAAGAAAGAAAAATGGCAAATAGTTGATATCTATACTCGTTTACAAGTAAGAGAACGAATGATAACGATTGTCAAGTCATCATATATGTATAAGAATATACATATTTCCGCAAGCAAGTCAAATAAGAGATAAACAATCTATCAGATGACGATGATGAGTCGTCATCGTTGATGATAGTAGGAAGAGCAAGCGAACGCGAATAAGAGAAAATCAACTGGTTCACATTGTGTACCAATCGTCTTTTTCTTTTATAAATATATATATATATATATCTGTCTGCAAACGAACCGAACAATTGATATCATCCTATCATCAATTCTCTTTTCCTCGTTTTTACTCAACAATAATTTTTTTCTTCTCCTATGGATAACAATCCGTTAACACCACGCGCTAGTAGTTTCAGTATTGCTTCATTGATTACATCAGATTGTTGCGAAGATGAAAATATTTTATATCATTCTATGACAAATCTAACTGAATCAAATTTCAATTATAATAATTGTTCAATTGATAAATCTACAAACGATTATCAACAAGATTTTCAACATTGTCAGTCACCAACATTTATTGAAACAAATAACGAACAATATCAACAAGAAATTAAAAAACGAGATAATCGATCAATGAATACGAAACAAACAACAAATCTTCAAAAAAGTTTAACAACAACACGACATATGGAAGGTTAGTTAGATTAAATTACATTTTCAAATACTTACTTTTTTCTTGTATATCTTAGATTATATTCAATCGGCAACAGAAAAAATAAAGTCAACATTTCAAACTAATAATGATAATAATTCAAATGGAATTGATAATGTAACAAAACCATTTCATCCGAAATTAGCTAATATTAAAATGGTACTTGAATCAAAATCTTTATGGGATGAATTTGATAAACTTGGAACAGAAATGATTGTTACACGATCAGGAAGGTAAGCATAGAAAAACGAAGAAGAGAGAGAGATTATTTGTTAATGAGTTTCATAAGTATAATTAATATTTGCATCTTAAATGAGAAAATATTCAAAACAATAGATAACATTGATACAATTGAGTTCAATCTCTTGAGACACTTAAACATATGCTATCAATCATCTTCGAAATAGATAATATAATTAACATTTTTCTTTTTTTTAAAGACGAATGTTTCCAATTTTACAAATAAAAATTTCTGGTATGGATCCAACAACGAATTATTTACTTATGGTTGATTTTGTACCATTAGATGATAAACGTTATCGATATGCATTTTATAGGTAAATATGTCATATATCTTATTTAATAAGAAGAAGAAGAATTTTTCTTTTTTAGTTCAAGTTGGGTTGTTGCTGGTAAAGCTGATCCACATTGTCCAGGTCGTTTTCATGTTCATCCTGATTCACCACAAATCGGTTCAGCATGGATGAAAAATATTATTTCATTTGATAAACTTAAATTAACAAATAATTTACTTGATGAAAATGGACATGTAAGAAAATATAGTTTGTACAGTAAATTCTTTACCATTTTTTTTTCTTTTTCTAAGATTATTCTTAATTCAATGCATCGTTATCAACCACGAATTCATTGTGTTTATTCACCATCAACAAAAACTGATGAATTACTTTTACAACAAACACAAACATTTCGAACATTTACATTTTCTGAAACAACATTTATTAGTGTTACTGCATATCAAAATCATCGGATTACTCAATTAAAAATAGCTTCAAATCCATTTGCTAAAGGTTTTCGAGATTCAGAATCAGAAGATGGGTATGTATATGAATGAATAATTGTAGATGATACTAAAACAGCTTCGTTAATATATTCTGCTTACATGTATAGTAAAATTTTCAAAGAAAAATTTTCTTTCTAATGTAATCACCTCACTATTACGAGCAGTAAACACATTTTTACAGTTTCACTTACTATCATAACATTTGTGATGTGAACACATGTATAATATTTCTTTGACCTCACTCGATTTCTTATGCAATATGAATGAATCAATCTTTTCATTCAAATACGTACTATGCCTGAAAATTCTATTCGTTGTATAGCAAATCATACATTAAAACCTAACCATAGAAAATTTCTGTTATCATAATACATTTGCTTTTGAAGTCATGTTAGATACGATCGAAAGATATCAAGTTTCCTACTTATCTATTTTTAGTTTATATTTTTTTCTAGTATGGTTGATGCATTAAATCAATTCAGTTCAAATCAACGTTTACTTCGTTCACAACGAAAATCACCAAATACACAACTTAATACATTTAACCAAGCTGTTGATGTTTCTACTCGTTTTATAACTGATTCACAAGATGTTAATTTTCTTTCACCAACAACTTATTCATTAGCTAATCAAGATTTAGCAAATTATACAGCTGATGCTTTTGTTTATTCACAATTATCGGATTTAAGTTATCGAACAGACCATTATCATACAGCACGGATGAGTCCCTATGCACGACAAACATTTTATCCAATGTATACACAACGGGAAATTCATTCACCATCATCATCATCATCCTACAATAGCTGATTATGTATAAGTAAAACATTTCGTTTTTTTTTTCTTTCTTCTTCTTCATTTGTGAACCTTTCGTCAGATGAGTGTTTTTAAAAGAACAGCATATATATTGTTAATTGCATCTTTATTAAATAAAAGAAACTTGATTTTCTTCTTATTCATATATATATATATATATATCAATATACTAATATCTTTATATTCATTGATCTTCCTTTTTTTCCTTCTTTCTTCTGTTTATTGATATGATAAGTAACTGTATGTGTTTATGTGATGGCTATCTATCTGTCATGATTATTGTTGAGATTAGAATATGTGTGCATATAATGATATGTTTATATAGACATATATGAATATATGTTAGTTATACGAATTGATTTGTAACAAAACGAAGTTTAATTGTTTTTTTTTTGGTATATAAATAAACAGATGATGAAACAGGAAAAGATCGAAAGTATGTAACTATTTTTATGATCCTAATTGAATAGAAAATTAAATTTTTTGTTTTGATTTTTCAATTCGATATTATATATTTAGAATGAATCATATCATCTAAAGTAGGAGTTACGAGTACATATTGTAGTGTTCCATACGAACGAAATGTCTGTGACTTAACAAATTATATTTTATGTATAGACTCCTCTCCGTTTCAAAAAAATTGGATATTATAATAAAATCTTGCTGTCGGGCGAATTACAAAAATTTCAGGAGCATCTTTTTTTTATATTTAAACATCAAATACCAATTTTACTTTCTTTTTCTCATAATATCGATGAAGATATCTGTAGTTTTCGTTCCTCTGACATTGTAAACACTATAATCCAGAGTTTTAATAAAACATGACTTGATTTTCACGGTAAAAGAGATCAATCATGATATAAATATAAAACCAAATTGCATTCTAGCTAATATTTGTTCATTACTCTATATAGAAAATAGAAATAATATATCACTTAACAAAATTTTTTCTTTTAATTATCATCACACTATAACAATCACAACATGAATCACATCGCTTCTTCGTATGAATAATATCGATCACTGTCTATATAATTATCTTCAAGCAGTATACTCTCTCTTTATTTCTTAGGAACTAATACGTGGCAGTAGATACAAAATATCTTATTCAAATATACATTATCTAGTATTATTTGACATGACGCTATTCTTTAAGTTTTGTTTTACCATGCAAAATATTAGAAAACATCCTACATTGTCTATATGTTTTATTCAATTGAAAACAAATTTGATCAACATGCTTTATTAATCAAATAGCGAGGGCAAGTAGTAAAATAAATACGATAAGAAAGAATGCTTATTAGTAATGTTCGGAGATATCATTGTAAAATATATTTCACTCATCAATAAAATATGATATTGATTAGATCATTTTATCGTCAATTGCTTCGTCATTCTATGCTTCTATGTTTCTTATGTTTTGCTTTTGGAATTGGTTTTAGTTTAATATTTTTTCTTGGAGATGATGAAAATTATATACCTAATTATGATGAATATAATAATAAGATTGTATTTTGGAGTAATGATTTTCATATTAGGTAAAAATAAAACCTTCATTTTGTTTTTTCTTCAAAAAAAAAAAACTATTGTATCGTTTTATTAGTCCAATACATGATCTTAAACAATTATTAATACCATTAGATGTTCGTTTTATTGATAAAAGTTTATCAGGAGCATGTCGTTTAACAAATACTTGTGCAAAAGAACTATATGTATTATCGAATTCTAATGGTATGAATCCAAGTAAAGCAATTCGTAAACAATTTTATGAATTCTATAAAAATGATCGATTAATGAATCTCGTAGATGTATTTGTTTGTTTTCATCCAGCTGCTATGTGTGAATTATTTATGCCATTTAATCGTACGATTATTGTTATTGCATCAACGCGTTATGAACTTGGACGTTTTTCAATTAATGAATGGAATGAATGGAATAAGAATTTACGTATTATTGCTTCAGATCCTCGGTATATTCTAGAAAAAAAAAGAAAGAATCAAATTTTAGAGAGAGCATCTAATGAAATCAGTTATTATATTTTATACGAAAATTATACTAACTAAGTGTTAGTAGTAAAGAAAATAATATATTACTACAGTCTATAATACGATGCACTGGAGAAGTAACTATATTCCAGAGATGGTACCGGCTCGGTTTGGTTTGACGTTTTCAATATTTAGTGTGTACAAAAAAGATAATTTGATGTAAATAACAAATATTTGGAAGATTTCCTTGACTAAATATTAGTTTAAAGCTGTTTAAATATTACTCGGTTCCGTTAGGTAAGAACACGAACCGATCCCATCTCTGCTACATTCTTCTGGCAGTTAGTTTGTATATAAAACTCATTTTCAAGAACCTTCCGATTATTTCATATGATGAAAGGGGTAATATTCAGATGATAATATGATTGTCTTTTTCACTTCGCCGTTCGTTAGTTGTTAATGAGAATTAATTGTAACAATGAAGAAATTAAAAGAACATAATATCATTGTGTTAAGGTCAGTGAAATAGTCTACATTTTTATTTGAAATAGATCATGGTCAATCGACATATAATATTTTTAACACTTTCCAATCAGTAACGACATTGCAATAAATAAAATGATTGAGAAAAGACTAATTCTTAGCAAAAAATAAGAATATCATGAGTTGCTTATATGTCTAAGAATAACTTGTATTTATAGAAATATCGTTGCTGGAAATAATCTATACGATGCTGAATATATACGATATTTTACTGGTATTAATACGACAGTTTTGCCGTCGATATGTGATTATACAAAAGTTGTCTATCGATCTGCAAATACTCGTTCGGAATATATTTTTATACCATCACATGATCATATTGATTTCAATGAGCAATTTCTCGATGAATTAAATTTTTCAATAAGGAAATTTAAATCATCAATTGTTGTTAAACCTTTACGTCAATTATATAAATTTTATAAATATCGCGATTTAGTTCGTCATCCAGCTATTATCTATTTACCATATCAAGTATCAACAATGAGTATATTCGAACAATATACAATGAATATTCCACTCTTCTTTCCATCCATTGATCTGTTAACTGAATGGCATTTAAAATATGATATTGTATTTGATCGAACATGGGATAAAGCACTAACTGGTCAAGGTAAAAATCGTTCCATTATATCAAGTTATGATTTAAATTCAACAATACCCGATCCAAATAATGAATATGATTATTCATCTATACGTTATTGGTTACAATATGCAGATTTTTATCAATGGCCACATATAACCTATTTCAATTCAACTGATGATCTTACTTTAAAATTACTAAATACAAATTTAACATATATCAGTCAACAAATGTCAGTATATAATCATAAGAAAAAATTGAATTTACTTCAACAATGGAAAACAATTCTGGCTCGTATTTCTACAACATAATTTTTTTTAAAGAAAAAAAAATCATTATAAAATAAAATAAAAAAAAAGAAATGAGACAAAAAAAATTAATTTGTTTTTCTATACACTGAGTTCAGATATTGAAACAAGACATTTTGCTCGTTTATTCATTTCATTAACAAACATATCATAGGGCATAATTGTTTGTATTAAATAATTTTGTTCATCATTTCCTACAAAACGATTCAGAGAATATTCAATAGGTGATGCGATTTTCCATGAACATAAACATTTATAATGTTCACCAATAAATGTTGCTGCAGCTAATTGTGTAGTTAAAGAATTTGGTCCACGTACACTTAAACCTTTTAATGTTGGTAAACGTTGACAACATGCTATTAATTCTAAATAATCACTTGATGAAAAACGATTATAATCAAGATCTAATACAACAAGACGTGATTGTTTGATTAAAACAATTAATAATTGACGCATAAAACGATTTAAACGATTTGTACCTAAATCTAAATGTAAGAATTGATGTCGCGTACTCATTTGACTTAAACTTATTAAATCATTTTCATATAATGAACAAAAATCTAAATTTAATACATCTAATGAATGATCAATTGCATTAAGAATAAATTCCAGACGATTTGTTATTGGTGAACCACTTAATGAAAGATTTTTTAAATATTTTAATTGTGATAAAACATTACAAAATTGATCTAAATCTTCTTGGTTTAAACGAAAGTCAATAAAATTACATGATAAATCTAATGTATGTAATTGTGTTAATTTTGGTAAACGTGGAAGAAAATATTTTAAATTTTGTCGTGTTAATACATTATATGGAATGCGAAGTGTATGAACAAACTAAAATAGAATTTTTCAATTAATAAATTAAAAAATAAAATAAATTCTTACTCGTTTATCAACATGATCAAGAAAACTACTAACAAGTGCTAAACCAATACAACGCATATCAATTGTACATATTTGTAGTTGAATATTTGGAGTTGATGAACGAAGTGCAGATAATAATTCAACATAAGTACGATAATCTTGTATTATACAATCGAAACGAATTATGATTATATCGTCTGGATATGAACTTGATTTAATAAGATCGTCAGTGCTATCATTTGAATTTGTATCTTAAAATTATTCTTTTTTTTAGATTATAGAAGAAATAAATTGTTTTTATTTTACCTGGAGTTTCAATTCTATTTTCATTATGAGATATAGTTTCAGGTATTAATTGATGATGTTGTTGATTATAAATATCAATCAATTGATTACGTCGTGATTCTTTTTCAGCTAAACGACAATGTGTAGAAATATAACGAATAATTAATTCGACTACAGGAAAATTAGTAACATCAAGTATTCGTAAATTTGCTTGTTTTTTCTGTGTTATTTGTTGTTGTTGTTGTTGTTGTTGTCGAATTGAATCAATAAAACGTGGAATTATAATAACAGAATATTTAATAGCTTGTTTAGTTCGTTGTAATGCTGTTTTTTCACATAGTAACATTTTTAATGATGTTAATTTTTCATCAACGAAATTTTCCAAACGAAATACTCGATATGGCCATCGTGATATAAGAATATTAATACAACTATCATCTTGTGTATACCGTAATGCTGCATGAAATAAATGATTAAATAATTCTTTTGGTACTGTTTCACATGCTTGTTCAGTTAAACGTTCACTACGTACAATTATTGAGCAACATAAGTCAGTAAGTTTAGGTAAACATGGTTGATTTACAGAAGGTTCATCATTATCAGTATAATTTATTCGAAAACTGGCTCCATTACGAAAAAATAAATATGAAAAATCAGACGAAAAAGAATTTGTTTCTTGTTGAGACATTTACTTTTTAATACAAACATTAAATATATACCTAAATGAGAAGAAAAAAAAAACTCATCTGTTTTTTTTTGTTATTCTTCCAATCAGAATGGTTGGAGGACAATGAATGAAAATAATGGCTATGAAGAAGAAGGAAGGAGGAAAGAAAAAAAAAAGTCTTGTTTGTAACGACATTTTTGATGAAGATGAATAAACAGTTAATGTAAAACATATATATTTTCTAGATGTGTTTTGGTACAAGTTCGGGGAAACTTAGTCAACTAGCACATTATGGTCCTATTGGTGCTATTATTTTGATTATATGGATGTATGAAGAACTTCTTTTTTTGTGTTATCTATAAAAATTAAATTGCGCCTTTTTTATATTTAGAACAATTAGCGGTTATCATTGTCTTATTCAATGGTTTCCACCAGATATTAAAGATCCATTAAGTATAATTAATTTTCTTATTTATTGGATTTGGCCTGTTGTGATTTTTTATAATTATTTTCGAGCTATTTTTGTTGGACCAGGTAAATATTTATATTGAAATTAATTGATTCATATTGATACTTTTTCTTTTATTATATATTTATAATAGGATTTGTACCCAAAGGATGGAGACCAGCAAATAAAGAACATGAAAAATATTTGCAATATTGTAAGACTTAATTGTTTTACAATTGAAATAAATATTTAATAATAATTAATAAATATATATATAGGTAATGTTTGTGATGGTTTCAAAGCTCCACGTGCACATCATTGTAAAAAATGTGGTCGATGTGTGATGAAACTTGATCATCATGTAAGTTTGTAACTTGAGAAATTTAATTAGAGAATGTTTTTGGTAATCAAATAGAAGATAAATTCATACTTTAGAAACGTTTCTCATCAATTTATAATGAAGGTTTTTTTTCTTTTGAGTGTGGCAGATTATTCTCACTAAGTTAAACATTGTTTTTTAGAAGATCGATATTAGATTGTTAAAAATAAGAAGACTAGCTAACATTTTATTACTACCAAGTACGTGTCATTAATGTAGATAAGAAAAAACGTGCAGTTAAACAAACCCATCAGCTTATTTTTTTGTCTTTATCGTAGTGAAAAGATTTAGTCATTAAAGACAAAGAAAATATTTCTGCAATGAGTAGTTCTATCTGATCACATACAAAAGATGAATATTTGAAGTTAAAAAAGAAACCTAAATCTCCTATTATCAAATTATTTTTGATTTTTAAAATTATTTTAGTGTCCATGGATAAATACATGTACTGGTCATTTTAATCATGCAAATTTTTGTTGGTTTATGTTCTATGCTATATTTGGTTGTACACATGCATTATTAATGCTTTGTCCATGTATTTATCGAGCACTTTTTGCTCAATATTATATCTATGCACGGATAAAAAATGTTCCAATTATTCATTTTACATTTACTGGTTTAATATCATGTATACTTTCAATTGGTCTTGCACTTGGTGTTATATTTGCAGTTAGTTTCGAAACTTTATATATAAATTGAAATGTTTTTATTTGAATATATATTTATGTTTTAGGTGGGATTTTTATTAGTTGTTCAATTACGAAGTATTATGCGTAATCAAACGGGTATTGAAAGTTGGATATTACGAAAAGCACGTGATCGTGATTATCGACGTGTAAAAACATTCATATATCCTTATGATCTTGGTTTTAAACAAAATCTTCGTCAAGTATTTGATTGGGCACAAACATTTAATGTTATTGGTGATGGTTTAACATGGCCTGTATGTGATGGTGCTGATGAATATGCCTTAACACGTGAACAATTAGATCAAAAACGTGATAAACGTCAACGTACTGTTCGTTATGAGGTTGTTAAATCATACAAAGGGTCATTCATTACATTAAGTTATGGTTTACGTACATGTATCTGTATTCCGTGTACAGATGAAACTCGTATACCACTTGAAAAAGGCGATTATGTTCTTGTAACACGTTGGGAAAGATGTTGGATGTATGGCGAGCGTGTTTCTGCTAATGAAATGAATAATAAAAAAGACGATACGAATAAGCCTGATAAACGACAACATCGTGCACGTGGTTGGTTTCCACGTTGTTGTGCATATGAAGCATTTAAAATAGAAGATTTATGGTCAGGAAAATTAGATCCTAATAGTGATATTGTAGCCGCACAATTTGCAAATTTTGGTCCAGAAGGATATGATGACGTTGAAGAAGAAGGAAATAATAATGTACAAAATGAAGACAATCATGTAGAAGAAATAATACCAACAACTACTACGTCAACACCATCCAAAAAATTAAAACAAAGAAAAGTCCGCCAAGAAAATTAATTAAAAGTATGTTTAATTATTTCCAAAACCAATCATCTGATAAAACAAGTATGTAAAAACTTGATTGAATTTTCTATCGATATGTCGCATAAACTCGCATAGAGATCTAGTTTTTCAATCAGTTTGCAAGTATGTTGCGTTGAATGATGTTTCACAGATCGTACTAACTTCAATGCGAACAAAAATTAATATTTCGGTCACTTCTTTAGAAGAGCTTCAGTTTTAGATATTTTATTTTTGAGTAAATATAAACTAAATCTAAAATGAGTATGATTTACACGTATTCTAAGTGGTATGTTCTTTCAAAACTATTTTTCTGTCAAGTACAGAAAATCTTTGATATAAGAGGTAAGCTTATTATTCGTATTTCTAATATTCGCATGGTTAAACTTGGTAAAGAACATCATTATCTATCAAGAAGTTTTCAATCGAGAGTAAAAGATATATCTACTAACGTTTTTAAATGTTGTTTATGATTTTATTGATTACTATTTGTCTACAGATATCAGATAGTATCCTAAAAATACCCACAAAGAATTCAAAATTTCTTTGAGATATATGCTCTCTATATTGTAACAGTACAATATTCAACAGTTCAATTAAATCTCAATAGAAACAGAAAACATTAACTGATATCTGCAAACAAAAAGAATCATTCGAATCAAAATAATATATCTGCAAAATTCTCTCATTCGTTGCGTTAGATAATATAATGCGACTTTATATATATATATCTATTAATTCAACGTTTGTTTTTCTTGTATGCACACGAAGTTCAATACGAGAAACTTTCATTTTCTATTTATTTAGTAATATTTTGGATATATTAAATCGAAATAAATTTTTATCCTTATCTTCTAGTTTGCACATTCCTCGCGTTCGCGTTTCGTTTATCAATTAAATGCGTCCGTCTTTTTGCGTCTTCTTGTCCTTGATCTATATCATTTGACTTCGTATGCGATCTATATTTACACGATGACAAACAAACTACCGCCGCACATCGAAAAAATCATTCATGTGAAAATATTTTCTGAAAAAATTCTATTAATTTTCATATGTTTTTACAGAAACACTTTTAATGTGTATCTGTAGTATTTTCTTTTCTTGTTTTGTTTTCTGTTTTTTTTTATTGTTTCCAAATCAAGAATCGATATATATTGTATGAAAATAAAAAGATCATGCTTTCTCTTTTATTGTTTTTCTTATTTATGTTTTTCGATTTCTTTCAGTTTTTTGTTTCTGTTTCTTTTCATACTGTGATCTTTGATCGATGCGTTCCACTGTTTTCCAACTGTTTGATAACGAACAGTGATACTGTTACTGTTTATCTGTGTGTATGTGTTGATCATCTCTTATTTAGACAAAAAAAAAAATGAAAGATCAAGATGCTTGATTGCGTTCATATGTGTTTTTTCTTTATCGATTAAACGTTTTTTTTTCGTGGATTCTGTAAATCGATTTCTTTTGTTTTAGTGAAACTAAAATTTAACTTATCGATTTTTTTCTTTTCTTTTTATTCTTAACGATTCCAGATACGAAGAATTACAATGAGTGGACCAACTAAAGCAGTAAAAACAAAGTTATTCATTGGAAATCTTGATCCAGCAACTCAACCTGGTAAATAAATTCATTTCATTGGTTTTTATTTTCGAATACATAATTCTTTTATTTAGCTGAGTTATCTGAACTATTTACAGCCTATGGTAGTATACTTGAAGCATCCGTGATCAAAGATTACGGTTTTGTGGTAAAAAAAAGAAATGATTTTATTTAATGTTGTTAATAAATTTGTTTAATTATTACTGATTAGCATTATGGTTCAATTGAAGAAGCGGAAAAGGCTGTAGCTGCATTGAATAATAAAGAATTTCATGGAAAAAGATTACGTGTTGAAGTAATAATTTAATTCATGAACAGATGTTTAATTTATAAAAATTAAAATTTTATTTTTAAATAGCTTTCAACAAGTACAGTGCGGCATCGACCTGGTCAGCCAGAACCTGCTAGTGCTTTGCGAAAGTATGTATAATTATCAAAATAATTTAAAAAAATTATAAGAAATTTATCTTCTGTATAGTTCTCGTGCACGTGCTGCTGCGATGGCTAGTGGAAATGGTGTATCACGTTATAGTCCAGCTGCACCAACAGGTGGTGTAGGTCCAATGCGTCATAGTGCATCAGCATGGGCTCGTGGTGATGCTCGTCCTTATGATGGTATTCCAATGGATCCCAGTGCTATGAGTGCTGGATATGGTCCAGTATCATCTAATTATGATCGTCAACGATCGTACGATATTCGATCAGATCCTCGACATTACTATGCAGATAGACGTGATAGTGGTTATGGATCTGGATATGATGCATCTCGTGATAATTTATATGGTGCACCAGGATATGTTAGTACGAGTGGAAGTAGTGCAGGACAAGCTGGAATATATTCTATGCGTGATTATCGTGATTTACAACCACATGTTCGTGCAGATAGTCTAGGTTATAGTACAACTCGGTAAGAATATATTTTCAGTTTGAATAATTAATTAGATTATTCTAATTATAAAAGAGTAAATAGATCAAATTCAGGAATTTGGACTTCTTGTATTTCGTAAATACGAATCTAAACGTTCTTTTGCATACTATATTTTTTGTATTGATTATCAATATTTTTCAATATATTAAAGATAATCATATTTGTTTTTTTTTAGAATGTACGATCGTAATCCAGGTACATCACCTGTAGATCCATATTATGGTGGTAGTTTACCTCAAGGACCACCAGCATCTATGGATCCTTATCAGAATTATGAGTATCAAAAATTCTATGCTACTAGACCTCGTGAATCAGAATTTCCAGTCTCAACTGGTCAAAATCCACCATCACGGTTTATATCTTTTTCTTTTAATATTTAATACTAATAATAAATATATTTGTGTTATAGAGAGTATGATATTTATACAAACTATCGTGCTGATCCATATGCATCAGTAGCTGGTCAAGGACCACCACTACGACATGATCTAGCGTTGACGTATCAACAACAACAACAACAACAAGCAGGTTATCCACCACCGACTCAACAAAGACAACAACCAGCATATGGAGGTACATCAGGTGCGCCAACAGCATCCTATCCACCAAATCTCGCACAATATTATGGCGCTCAACAGCGAGCATAACATATTTATATATAGATAGATCTTTTGTCATATGTGTCTGTTTAATTTTAGTGTGACTGTCTTTGTGTATGTATATGTGTTCGTGTGCCGTTTATTATTGTTTCTTTTTTTTTTCTTATGTATATCGAAAAAAGAAAACATCTAAATATGAATGATATGGTTAGCTTGTACAGAGTTATCTTTCTCTTTAACACTTATTTTTGGTTTATGTTATTGATGTTTAATTGTTTGTTTGTTTATATTAGATAACACAGAATCGATTCTGATCATATATATGAAACTGTAAGTTTCAAGTAAAACGTTTTTTCTTCTCTAAGCTTTCTCGCAATATTTAGATCATCAGTTTGCAGCAAATGGTATACTTGAAGTTTCAAATGAAACTAACTTTTGGTTTATATCATGACTTCAATAGTACATATTTTGTATATTTTTAACCGAAACAAATGGTACATTCAAAGAAATTCAAAATATCACGAAAATAGTGACGCATCACATCATGCCGGAAAATTTACAATTTAACACACTGCACAAACAATATGATAATTGTTGTATAATAGTGACGATATGTATGAATGATTTCTCTCATTCATAATTGTCAAATAAAAAAGAACATTACAATTTTCAATACATTTTAGTCTTTTGATTTGAATGTAATCTCTATTTAAATATCATTATTATTCGATACAGTAAGAGAATATATATATTTGTAGTGTATGTTTTACAATGATATTTTTCATTTTAACCTTTGTACTATTCATTACACGAATAACGCACTTTTCATAGAAACAATCGTCAATATTATTGTCAAATAAATCCAACATGTGTAATTTATTATTATCATCATTCTATGTATTGCAAAGCAATCAATCGTGTAGAACTACTTTCTTTTTATTCTTTCTATTCACATACGTAACTCCGTTTTGTTCTACTCACTTTATTGTATAATAACATAGTCATCAAAAAGAAAGGAAGAAGAAAATAAAAATGCCTTTTTTTCCTCGCAATATACCTTTAGCGTATTAAAAAAAATGCATTTATTTATAGTTAGAGCGCATGTATTTCGGATGTAGACACAAACAAATTTGTTTGTCTATCTATCAATTTTTCATCATATATTGTTCTTTCTTATCAGTAGACTTTTAACAGCCTTCGATGATAGACATGTCTTGTTCCATAAAATCCCGCAAAAGTGTTACTCTATGAATTGTTTTTTTCCAAGGTTAATAGTTATGCTTCATTTATTTCATGCATGAAACGAAAAAAAAAAAGAAATCGAAGTAATGCATTTATGCATATGTTACTACTCTAGATAAAATATAGTTTGATTTGAATAGGTGTTATTTTCAGATTGATATTTAGAGTGTCATACTTATCGCTTTTATTGCTCTATAAAATAACAAAATTTCTTTCTTTTCAGATCTTCATGTTATTCATAGGTATAATAAAATAACAATAATTTCTTGCACTTTCTATTTTTTATTATGTTACTTGCTTTTAGTATTCATATGACCCAAAGTTCATTGTATGGTGAAAAAGTTGCTACAGCTGGTCTGGTAGCTGGATTTTTTGGAGGTAAAATAAATCGAAGAAACTTAATTTAAAATTTAAGTAAAATATTTCTTAGGTCTGGCACTTGGCTGGCTTTTTAGTTCATCTGTTTTTGTTAGTAATAGTGTTAAAGTTGTTGCGAATAGTTTTGATTTTGAAAAAGATCAATGTGAAGATGATAAAAGTGTAAGTGGGAAAAAATAATAATTATTAGAAGATTCTTTTTGTTTTTCAGTTCGATCCTGGTTCTTGTGAAGCTGAAGGCGAATATAAAGTAAATCTTAAAAATCTATTTTTTGTTAAAATAATTTTTTTAAATTACAGCTAGTACTTGTCGTAAGAAATGATCTCAAAATGGCGCAAGGTAAAACTAAAACGATTCAATATTTCAATTTCTTAATTTTTATTTTTTAGGAAAAGTAGCTGCACAAGTAAGTTGAATAATATTACAAGAAAAATAAAAACGATTGATTTACATCAATAGTGTTCTCATGCAACACTTGCATGTTTCCAAAAAGCATGTGAAAAAATACCGCGTATTGTTGACTCATGGTTTTCTGGTGGACAAGCAAAAGTCGTTTGTAAATGTGAATCTGATGATGACATGTAAGTTATTTATTCATAGTTTATAATAAATTTAATATCTTCTTTTATAGCGAATACCTACGTCGTCAAGCTAAGTTTAAAGGTTTAACAACGTGTTTGATACGTGAAGCAGGTATATATACAAATAAGTCAAGGTTATTTTGTATTGAAATATTTATTATAGGTCGAACAAAAATTGGTTTAGGACATAGAACAGTACTTGGAATTGGACCAGGTTAGTCTCACGATTATTTTAACGAAAAATTATCTTATTGTTCTTTTGATTTTAGCACCTTCATATTTAATTAATGAAATCACTCGACATTTGAAGTTATATTAAAGCGATTATTTTATTTCTTTCTTATTTATATAGTCTATCACTACTTCTATGTTGTCTTTTTCTTTGTTTTTATTTCGCTTGAAAATAACTTTTTATGTATACATATATATTATTTTTCTTACATGTTATACCTACAATCAATAATGTGCGAATATTGTCAATAAATTTATATCTGATATTATCGTTCCCTTTTTTTTGTTGTTGTTTAAGAATATTATTTTGAAGAGGAAAAAAAGAAATAAATCTAAATTATTTTAGATGAGTGATTCAACGTTATCAAATCTACCATCGACATCAACGTCGGTGTTACAGAAAGAGTCTATATCTGGTACTTATCATAGTTTCGGAAAATATGTTAAACTTAATGTAGGCAATCATCTATTTCTAACAAGTTACGATACATTAACCAAAGAAGATACGATGTTTAAAGCAATGTTCAGTGGACGTATGGAAGTTATACAAGATAGTGAAGGTAAGAAATCATAGATTAAATAAAACAGTAGGTTTACAATCTTTGCCCATAATCATGTATGTATATAATTCGATGATGTTTGTATTCATATCTTTTATTGCAATCGTAATAAACTAAATTGTATCTAATAATTATTACTATCACATATCGTATAGAAACTATAATGAAATATACATCATATTGTTTAATTAGGTTGGGTATTAATCGATCGTGATGGTGAACATTTTAATATAATATTAAATTATTTACGTGATGGTACTTTAAATTTACCTGATTGTATTCAAACATTAAATGAATTATTACATGAAGCAAAATTTTATTGTATACAAACGCTTGTTGAACTTATTGAACAACATTTACGAGCACGTTCAAGAAAAACTACTGGTGATACAGATGCTTGTTGTAAAGTAATTATGTTAACATCAGCCAAAGAATTACCAAATATTGTAGCTACTGTACGTAAACCAATTGTTAAATTAGCCATTAATAGACATAATAATAAATATTCATATACTGCGTAAGTTGACTAGGCGTAAATAAATTTTAGAAAAAAAAAATTTTCTTTTCAGTTCATCGGATGAAATGTTAATGAAAAATATAGAATTATTTGATAAATTAAGTATTCGTTTAAATAATAGAATATTATTTATAAAAGATGTAACTGGTAGTGAAGAAATTTGTTGTTGGAGTTTTTATGGTAATGGACAAAAAATGGCTGAAGTTTGTTGTACATCAATTGTATATGCAACTGAACGAAAACAAAATAAAGTAAGATACAATATATTCTGGAAAATGAAATTTGATTGATTCTTTTTTTTTGTATTAGGTTGAGTTTTTTGAAGCACGAATATATGAAGAAACATTAAATATTTTATTATATGAAAATCGAAATACATCAGTAGATGAAATTATTCGAGCAACAACACCACGTCTTGCATCAGCTGTATTAACAGATGATGATTACGATGAAGAACGTTTTAGTACGACAAATTCAGCATCAGGTACAAGTCGACCACCAAGAAAACGTTAAATTTAAATATATATATTTTTTTTCTCTCTCTCGAAATGTTTGTGTGTGTTTGTGTGCTTTCTCATTCTATGCAAGTATATCTTTATATGAAAATATATTTTATTATTTATTTATTGTATTTAGTCAGTTATTTTTCATTTATGTATTTTGTTTGTCTTTCTTTCTTTGTTAAAAGTTCTAATCTGGTGAGATTATGTTCTCCTTCAATGATGAAATAAAAATAATATTTTTTTTCTAATATTAATTAAAATGAATGAGAAATAAAAAGTTTTTGTATTTTGATAAACGAAACAAATATTTGAAATCAACTGTATTTAATGCCATCAATATATTTTGAACAAGATTACAGGGAATTTATCAGTAATGTAATAAAGCGTTTTTATATATTACTTAGTATTGACAACAAAGTATAGTTGAATCAAAATAATTCTCACACTACATCGATACACGCCCATAATCACTTGTTTTTCATACTATTGTATGAAGATATGGAGGGCATTGTTATAATTCATTGTACTCATGCATTGTAATAGTATGATTGAATGTGTAAATATATTTTAATGACAATCCTTATCTCTTTTTCTATATATCTAGTCAATATCTGACATGAAGATAAATAGAAACATAAGTTAAATATGTGATTCAGGTAAATAAGGATGAGTATTGAATCGTTCTATTCGTTGTATATAGGTAAAAAAATATATTTGTTTATCAAATGATATAGCAATGGTGAATTAGATATAATTGATGATTACCTATGTCAATACCTAGTAAATATTTTCGTTGAAAAATATATCTGATTCAGATTATTACAAGGATAAAAATTTTTTTTACAAGTTTAAATAACTTTTTAAGTGACAATATTTCACACTCAGATGCGATTATCAAAATTGGTACATATGATAACACGTTGTTCTCGGAATACTGCTTTTGTTTTAGATATTATTAACTAAAACAGTTATGCTACTATTGCTTATTGTCTTTATATTCCTTGCTTTTCTCACAATTATTTATCTGAAACTTATTCGTCCTCAAAAACAATTACATGATATATTCGTAGCCCAAGATGTTCCTAGTGAACCATTTGTTCCAATTTTTGGTCAATTATTTGATATAATTCGTGCTACTAAACAAAATAGAGGAATGGAATATTTCAATGAATTAGCAAAAAAACATCATTATTATTTTCTATTAGGCTTAGGACCTCTTACACGTTTTATAATAGTTGAATGTGAATTATTAGCAGACGTTTTAAGTCGATCAAAAGTTGAATATTATGAAAAAACATCATTTGTAATTAATATTTTGAAACCATTAATTGGTGTGCATAATCTTATAGTTAGTAAACATGCGGAATATGAACGAGCTCGTAGAATGCTTAATCCGGCATTTCATTCTATTAATCTTCAATCAACTGATTCTATTCGACCTGATATTCAATCTAATATTCTAACATTTTCTATTATCGCATTGAGTGCTTTTGGTCAAAGTTTTGAAACAATAGTAAATGCGAGAATATTGAACAACTCGTATGATTAATCAAGTCAAAGTTCTTGATGAACTTCCATTTTGGGGTAAACATATTCTTGATGATGCCACAAAAACATTAAATGAATTTGTTGATCAATCGGTTATTGATCGACGAAATGGAAAATCATCAAGTTTATGTTCTGGTCAAGATCTTCTTGATCTTCTATTATCAGCGGATGATGATCAAGGTGAACCATTTTCTGATGAACAGATAAGAGATGAAGCTGTAACATTTGTACTTGCTGGTCATGACACAACAAGTAATTTAATGACTTGGGCTATATGTATATGTTAATACTTCATGATGAAACTTTACAAGCATGTCGTGAAGAAGTTGGTCGTATTCTACCTAATGAAACAATTCCTACTTATGAACATCTGTCTGATCTTCAAGTCATCGAAGCAGTTCTTCATGAGACTATTCGTCTTTATCCAGCAGCTCCTGTTTATGCTCGTCAATATATCAAAGAACATACAATATCTAATTCTAATGATACCCTTTAAATTTATATTCCTGTTAATAAAATGATTGTTATAAATACATATGTTTTACATCGACGTGAAGAATATTGGCCTAATGCACTTGAATTTGGTCATAAACGATGGATGCATGATACAGCCACTAATCTCAAACCAAAATTAGCTCATCCATTTGCTGCAGGACCAAGAAATTGTATTGGACAAAACTTTGCTTTGCTTGAAGTTAAAGTTATTCTAGCTATGTTTATACAACGTTGCACGTTCGAATTAGTTCCTGGTCAAATAATCGTACCTGAACAGAAAGGAGTAACTATGTCACCTAAGTATGGAATGTTAGTTAATTTGAAAAAAAGAAATTTTTGAAATTTCAACAACAAATATATATTCATACAATAAATAAACAACAATAAAACAATCTTTCATTTTTCTGTTTGTTCAAAAACACACGCACATCATATTTAAATAACATTTGATATACAGAATTCTGTTCTGTAAAATGTCTTTTATAAGATAAAGATGATTAAAATGTAATACCAATTTTTACGTCGATATAACAGATTACATTCCTAGAATAAATTGAATACATGTTTTTATTTCACTTCTAAAATTCTAACAGAATATCTTGTTCGACGATTTTGTCGTCAAATTATTCTCAATTTCTTTACTTAAATTCGATGATTTTTGCCATTCAATTGGATTATTTCGATACATTGGCCATGGTGGTAATGTTAGCTAAATAAAATAATAAAGAAAGTGAATATATCCATATATACAAATAAATTTCATACTAAAGCTGAAACAAAAACTCCAAAAAGAAGAGTGTAAATTGTCATACTAAATTGTTGCATTAAATAACCAGCAATAAAACCGATAATCTATGATTTAAAAGAAGAATAATGAGAAAAGAGAAAATAATTCATATCCTTACGCTAAATAAAATAATAACGATTTGAAATAGTCTTTCAGCTGTCTTTTGACCGAAATAATCCTTTTGACAAAAAAAGACAAGAGATTTTATTTTTCGTTAAACTAAAATCTTACAATATATGTAGGGAACGGCCATCCGATATCAATCATTTTTGTAAAATAACAGTAATTTTTTTAAGAATTTTATGATATAGAATTCTACATAGTATTGGTTTAGTACATTCATATTTCTGATGACGCCACTGTCTATTTTATTAAGGTTGAAGGTTGTATCGATGGTGAACTATGTTGAATATGGTTCTAATTTAGACGAATCATTTTCATGATGATTCACAGTTTGATAAGAGGAACGCAAATATTTATTTGATTATTTTATCACCTTTTTATGATGTATTTGACAGTTATAAGACATATTTTCTTCGTATTATTAACATGATCATTTACAAATGAGTACAACAATTAAACCACGATATATGGAGAAGTATAATCGTCAAAAATTGATTGGTTCAGGTGCTTTTGGTCAAGCATGGTTAGTTCAAGCTAAAATCGATGGAAATCAATTAGTTATGAAAGAAATAAAGATTGCTAAAGTGAAAAAATTCATTGTATCAATAAAAAATTTCAATCATAGTTTTTTTTTATTCTTAGATGACAAACAAAGAACGTGATGACGCAAGAAAAGAAGTATACTTGAAAAAATGCTTAATTTTATGAAAATAAAAATTTATTATAGGTTGAAGTTCTAGAAAAAATGAAGCATCCATATATTGTATCTTATACGGAATCATTTGAAGGTATTATTTAACATATTAACTTAATTGTAAAAGAAAGTATAGATTAAATCAATACATAAGATTCATTTTCCAGACTGAATATTAAATGAAAAATAATTGCTTATATTCATAGTGAATATTTTTCTCCTCCTCTTGAGAAAATACTTGTAGAGAATAGTGTTCAATATTTTATTATTTGTATCCCATGTGAAATTTATAAGATTTCAAATTATTCTATTAATAGATGCAACAAGTTTATATATTATAATGGATTATTGTGATGGTGGTGATTTACATTCTCGTATACAAGCTCAACGTGGTATTCTATTTAATGAAGATTTAATACTTGATTGGTTTGTTCAGATAACATTAGCACTTAAACATGTACATGATCGAAAAGTACTTCATCGTGATATCAAATCTCAAGTAAATTTGAAAGAAAATTTTAAATTAAAAAATATTCATTTAATTTTTAGAATGTATTTTTAACAAGTGATGGCTCAGCTAAATTAGGTGATTTTGGTATTTCAAAAGTATTAAATAAGTAAACGACAAGATATTTTTCTTTTATAATCTATTTAAAAATATTCTTTGCTTTTTAGTACATGTGAATTAGCACGTACACAAATTGGTACACCTTATTATTTATCACCAGAAATATGTCAACAAAAACCGTATAATAATAAATCTGATGTATGGAGTCTTGGTTGTGTTTTATACGAAATGACAACATTAAAACATGCAGTAAATAAAATTAGATTGAAAAATTTTTTTTTATTTATTTTGCTTGTAGTTTGATGCTGATAATATGAATGGTCTTATTATGAGAATTGTTCGGTAATAGATAATTTATTTTTTTCAAGTTGAAATTTTGTTATATTTTAAAATTTTTCTTAGTGGATCATTCAATCCTATACCTGCAAGATATAGTGGTGATTTACGAATTTTAATAGCATCAATGCTTAAACGTGAACCAAGGTAAAACGAAATGAAAGTAATTATTTAAATAATTATCTATTTCATCATATATATAGAGAACGCCCATCTGTAACTACAATTTTACGTAAACCATTTATTAGCAAACGAATTTTAAACCACCTACCAGAAGAAGTAATAATACTATTTATATAAATGTTTAATAATATTGTGTATTCTATAGAAACTTAAAGAAGAATTTAGCCATACTGTATTACATGATAAAAAACCATCTATTAATCTTGTACAACCAAATTCAAATTCATCACCATCATCTCGTCCACTTACAGTTCCAAAACCAAATGGTATAGTTCCACCACCACCACCACCGCCAATTTCTGTACGTCGAAGTTCAGTTGCACCGAGAATATCCCCTCAAGAACCAGTCAAAGCATCCAAAGGTCCAATTATTGCTAAACGTCCAAATTCAGCTGTTCGTTCTGTAAATCGGTTTGTATAATATACTAATAAAAAACAAGGCAATGAATCAATATTTTCATTTTAATAGAATATCAAAAGAAAAGAAATCAATTGATGTTAAACCACAACCAATTCTATCAATTGATAAAGAAAATGAAATTGAAAAACGACGTAATGCACTTGCTAAACAACGAGCAACACGTGAAAATCAGATTCAAATCGATGTATGTAAAAAAACTAAATAAAATTGAATTAATTATTCTTTTGATTCAGGCGGAAAATTTTGCAAAGAGACAGCAAGCATCGATTGAAAAACAAAGAAAATCAGCTATACAACGAGATCGAGAACTTCGTCGAATAGAAATACCGAAGAATTTCTCCGTATAGAAATAAATTTAATTATTTGTTAATATCAATTATGAAATTTGATTGTTTTTTCAGGACCAGTCAGATTCTAGCACTCTACGCGAGGCATTACCAGTATTCCTACCGGTATGTAAATAAATCCTATATTTTATTACAAGAGTAATCGAAATGTCTTTTTTTCTTATAGCACAAAATGAATCAAATATCTAATCCATCATTAGATAAAAAGCCAGTATGTTTAATCTTTTAACATATTATTTTTTCTTTTCTAAAAAAAACTTTTCAGGCTGTTGTAGTCCCGAGTTCTAATGCAGAAAAATGCAGTGATGATGTTCAAAATCGTAAACAATTCTTTGAGCAAAAAATAGCTGAAAATTTAAAGAAAATGGATCAATGGAATAAAAGTATGTATTGAAAATAAACATGAAAACTAATTCTTCAACTCATTTAACTTTAGTCGATCAAGTAGAAAAGCCAGTTGTCAATCTTCATAATGAACCAATGTAAATATAAAAAATTTATTGTAAAATCTATTTAAAATTATTTTTAGTGAAAACAACAATTCGCCACTATTAAAAAAACGACTTCCACTCCGTTTAAATAAAGTACGTGCTGGAATATTTAATCAAAATCTTCAACAAGTTCGTCAAACGAATCTTATTAATAAACGAGACATGCTTGGAGAACTTTTGATGAAAGGATTGGAACAAGAAGTAAATATATTAAACAAAAATATTTATTCTTTAAATTTTATTCGAATAGAAACAAAATCAAGTAGCTTTTAAAAAAATTCAACCTGCTGATAATAATCTGAATATTCTTCCGATAAGGTTTGTTTCCATAACTTGAATAGAATATTTCGAAATATATTTTTAGTTCTGAACAAGAAAAAAGAAAAGCAGTTTTAAAAAAACTTAATGAAAAAATTGTTCGAGAAGGTTGGCAAGAGTATGGTGCATCACCTAACGCACATTTATTATACCAACAACGACAGATTAATCCTTCAGTTGTTAATCATTATACACCAACAAATAATTCGCCTAGTAAGCAAAGTGAAACATAATCTTTTAATAACTAATTTAATTTAACATAGATTCAAATGTGCCTAATCTAATGATAGTTGGTCAACCAATGAATATTATTAATGGAAATGGCTCTAATCGACAACAACCGTCTGATGCATCGCGAGGAACAGTAATTAGTGTATTAGAACGTGCTCGTGCTCAGGATCATCTAAGATCAGATATAAAAAATTCAATAGAAGATAATGAAACATCAGATATTAGTTTAATAAATTTAGCAAAAAGACTTGATCCAACTAATAAAAATGATACTTATGTTTTACCTAATTTAATCGAATCATCGAATCCAACATGTGATATATCCAATAAGCCTATAAAATCTGATCTTGTTGTCGAAGATTTAGATGCAACATTAATTACTCAAGTCAAAGAAGATGATGAGAAAGAGTAAATACATATACATATTTTATCCATTCTATTAATTATAATTTTTATATTTATCAATAGAAGTACATTACTATCTGATGATTTCGATCTTCTAGAAGGTTTAACTACTGGTCATTTTGATGCAAAGAGTAAACTAGTAAGAAATATTTTTTTTTGTTCTTTGATTGAAGAATTTCTAAATATTAAATAAGACACAAATCAATTAAAATGTAATAAACTAATTTTATTTCTAGCTTCTACGAACAGTTTCGAATCCTGAATTACACATGATCGATGAACGTATAGATACAACAATTAATGGAGCATTTAAAATTACTAGAAGTCTATCTGAACTCGAAGAAACAAATATTATCACTCAGCCATCAGAAAAAACAATTGTTAACAGTACAAATTTCGAAAGTAATAATAATAGTAATTCATCATCAAATGATGAAACTGTAAAACTTGATGATGAACAAACATTATCATCGACGATACAAAATTGTTCAAATGATGATGATGAAAGTAAGCTGAAACAAACAACAAATGAATTATTTTTAAAAACAGATGAAGATGATGTTGATGATGATAATGATGATGACGATGTTTGGTGTAATCAAGTAGATGAAGATAATCTTGAACATTGTGTCAAACTTAATCAAGAAAGAATAGAACAATTACGTCAAATTCTTGGTTATGAAATATTTCATAATCTTCATCAAGCATTTCAAGTAAAATAAAATTTTTTATTTTCATTTTTCAATATTATTCATTTTTTTCTAGGAAGGTGAAACAGATATACAGGTTCTAAAAACTTTTATACCACAAGATAAACATTACTTATTAGATTCAGATGTTTTACTAATTTTATCTTCTATATGATTAATAATTATGAAAGAAATTCTCTGCAATAACTGTGTTGTTTGTGATATTAATATTATTTCCATAAAAAAATTTTTTTTTTTTTGTGTATTCATTCATTCTATGAAAATATTTGTATAATTTCATTTGTTTTTCATGGTAATATTATAAATTTTCCGAATAAATAATCAGTATCCAATAGCCGTATGGCTTTGTTTTATATTTAAATCTTTGTTTAAAATTTTTAGAAGTATCTGTACGTATGGGAACTAAAAGACTTAATAACTGTTGATTGATTGTGCCATTAGGTAGAGATATTCTGTCAGATTAACTGAAAATTTTACAAAAATTTATTTGAATAAGTTAAGCTTTTGAATTGTTTATTAGAAAAGCATTACTAATATGTATGATATTCATTGCAGATCGATTGTGAACTCAAATAAAGCGAAGTCAGTTAAAATGTTAGGTTAGAATGCAAAGGGATATATAAGACACTATGCTGCAGATTCGTGATTTTTACCTGTGCTTGCTCTTCGCTTTTTTAAAATCATTAATTTATCGCTATTTAACTGTAATCCAACATAATGAAGTTTATTATCAAAAAAGGATATCAAATACTCTAATATTCGATAAAAAATGTGTTATGCTTTTTAACCTATATGATAATTGCCAACCTCTTGAGCTGAGATACACATCAACAGTAGTGTTACGCTTCCCTGCTTTTAGATTTTTCTTCAAAATAAAAAAAATATAACCATAATCTATTGTGCACTCTCCCGTCTGCTTTGAATACCTCAGTACGCCCCTGCACATTAGATAATCATTATTTCTGACATCTCAGTAGTGAAAAATGTAAAAAACAACCACCTATTTACTAAAAATTACGGTCTAACCAATCCTCGATGTTTTGATCATGCAAAAATATAATTTGTACAAAGAAAAAAACAGTAATATATGCATTCGTGGTTGTATTTTATTCAAGCAATCAATCTTTTCATTATAAAAAGAAAAAGAAAATATATGTATAACATCGATACATACCGCATAGAGAAAGAAAAGCAATATATAATATAGTTACGCATCGATGAAACGAACCCGAGTGTTTTAATATTTACATAGTCTCACCTTGGAAAAGGTATTGATGAGGTACTATACTCAGTGCTACGGAAATAAATATAAAACATTTATCTACGCATATCTCTAAATGGTAAAGTTAAATTAAACTATTTCTTTTATTTTTGTTAATATTATTTGAATACCATCAAGGTATACTATTTCCAGTACAATTGAAAATCAAGCTGACCTATATAGTCGTTATTATTTTCTTTCCAGCTTTAATGGATATTATGAAGAAACAATCTTTATAAGTTTATCTAAATCAAAATTGTCATCCAATTATAATGCAAATCAATATCTATTGGTTTAAATTTCGAAAATAACAGTAATCTATCAATTGAATTTATTTACTTAAGATTACAATGATGGTATTTTACATGATTTTAAAAATGCAAATAATTTATTTTTCTAGGAAGGTGAAACGGATATATAAGTTCTTAAAAATCTAATTGTATTGTTTGTAATATTAATGAAGAATGTTTTTTTTGTGTATTTATTCATTCATTCTATGAAATTATTTGTTTTTCTTGACAATATTATAGATTTTCAACCTAGACCATGCTTCAATCAATGATTTTGCGGTCTTGTTTGATATTATTCATAGGACTTTTTGTAAAATATCTAGTAGATATTGGAATATTTCGACGTATTAAAAATAAAGGACTTGATAAGTGTCGATTACTTATACCACCCAATGGAAGTAATGTATTAAATTAATCAATATATTTACAAATTTTAATTGTAGAAGGACAAGCGTTTGAAGATTTTGCAATTGATTATGACAAAGGTGTTGCTTATATGGCTGGTGATGAACGTACATGGTGGCATACGTTAAGTATATCGCTTGCAAATAAGCATAAACTAGGAAAAGTGTATCAATTTAATATTGAAACTGAAAAATTTCAAAAATTAAAGTTAACTAATTATCCATATGATCATTTTCATCCATTGGGTGTTGGTTTATTACAAAGAAAAAATAATCTAGTAAGATTAATAGAATATTTAAATATGATCTTATTGAAAATTATATGTTTAGTTATTTATGACAAATCATCGAGTAGATAAAGGAAAAGTTATAGGAGCTGTTGATATCTTTGAAGTTATTTCAACAAAAAAACAACATCAATTAAAATGGATTGATTCAGTTGTTCATCCACTGTTTACAGGTAATACATTTTAATTGAAAAGATAAGTTAATATTAATTCATTTGTGAATAAAATAGTACCGGATGATGTATTACCAATTAACGAAAATGCATTTTATGTAACAAATATTTTTCATTATCGTGCTGATAAATCTAGTTTCTTGCATAAATTTGAAGTTTACACTCAACGTCCTTGGACAGATTTATTATTATGTACAAAGACGAACAAATGGCAATGCAAAAAAGTAAATTAATAATTTTAATTTAAGTAAAACTTTCGATATATTTAGATTTGTGATTCATTTGCCGGAGGTAATGGCATTGCAGCCTCATCAGATTTCAATACTATTTATGTAGCTGAAACTCTTATAAGAGCAGTATGTTAAATTTTATTTTTAAATATTTTAAAAAAATATATTTTATTAGATTCGTGTGTATCAACGTAATACAAAAACTAATTTATTAACTCATATTAAAAATTTATATGTTCCATTTTTTTTGGATAATCTTATTGTTAATGATCGCGATCAACTTATTGTTGCTGGTCATCCAAAAGCTATACAATTTGCTTTACATGAAAAAGATCATCGAAAAAATCGTGCTCCATCTGAAATAGTAATCTTTACTAATCCAAAATCAAGTAAATTTCAATTTCTTTCATATATATATAAATATACTTTTTTATATAATATTAGGTTCAACATATGAAACTTTATTACTTACAAATGGTGAAATTCTTTCAGCATCAACTGTTGCTGGTACATACAAACAAAAATTCCTTGTTGGTGCTTTATGTGATCAAGGAATTTTAGTATGTCAAAATCAATTAAAACTCAAAAAATAATACTCTATTAACTATTGAACAACATAAACATGTTGTATTTAACTTGTGAAAAAACATAATCATCTTTTTTTTATTTAAAATTTAGATATTAAATTAATTTTTTAAAGATAAAAAAGAAATTATTATAAGATTGTTGATTTAAATGGTATACTTTGAAAAAATTGCTATCACGTTTTTTTACGTAAAGTAATTCAAGATACAGATAACAACATTTCAATTAAAAGATGTAGTACCCCATCAGAGAGATCCATTTCCTTATGTTCATATTATACAAGACATTATCTAGTTTTGTGATATGAGTAATATGAGATGTTAAATTTTTTTCATTGTTTGTGAATGATTAATTTTTTTACGCAATATGCAAAAAAAGAATCTTTGTATGTGTTTTTTGTTTGCTATAATGACACAGTGATAAAAAGACTTTGGTAAAGTGTTATGAAAGATAAGAATATATGTTACTAATATAGTTTACCTTGAAAATTTTATTTTGAATAAAACAATTTTTTGACTTCATGTCTTCTCAAACGACCCACACTGCTCAACCTACAGAAACAAGAGGTATTCGGATATTTGTACGTTCCGCATATCCAACTAAATACAATTTTGCTGTCGAAAATTATAATGCTGTATCTGTTGTTCACAAAGCAACTATGCGTGGTGGTCGTTTACTTTTATTTCGATCGATAGTAGCTGTAGTTTGGATTATAGCAATGGTGTTTGCAATTCTTGCTCTCATAAGTGCAGGTTTTGTCACTATGACTATATTACTTAGTGCGCTTTACTTGGCATTAACAATTTATAATGCATACGTATTCTTTAATAATCGTGATCTTTTAAGAGCAACACGTTTATTACGAGCTAAAACTGCCGGTCCGGATGGTCGTGATTTTGAATGGGTAAACGTACCAATTGATTCACGTAGTGCAAATGAAAGATTAGCTGCTGTTGAACAATCTGCCTTAGACAGTGTACGAAAAGAATTTGTTGGAAGTAATAAAAGTGAAATTGAATGTATGGTTTATACAAAACGTTATGCTGATACATATCCTATATTTCCTAAAGAACTTCTTCTACATTTCATTGCATTTTCGGGAGCTGTTATAATTGGTATTATAATGGCAGCACTTTAAATTGATTTTTAAAATATTTATTTCTATCATTTTTTTTAAAATAAAATAAATAGAAATTTATCTAGCAAAAATTTTAACACCATGCTGAATAATGAGAAAATAAAGATGAAGATTGTTCATAGCACAATAAAATTTACAATATACTCTGTCATGGAAATTAAAGAGAAAGATAAGATTAAAATGGCGGAACAGATCGACATATTTTACAAATATTAGGTCCATTTTCATTCAAGACATTCGTTGTTTTACAACAAACACATGTATAAGTAAGACCACGAGAATTCATACTTACCGATGCACTCCGTCCAACAGGTCGATGATTATTAGCTAAGTATGGTGTAGATGTAGGTGACGATGTATATGGGGGCATATATTGACGAGGGATGGACATCGTATAACTTGGTTCTAAAAAGAAGAAATCAATAAATATTTCTATTATTAAAAAATTAAAATTATTTTACGTTGTTGAAATGAGCTATATAGGCTATGACTTGGTGATGGAGCAGTAGGTGCTTTAGGTATTTGATTATCTCTATTTGGTACAATGAATAATAATGAATCCCAATTAATATTTTTTGAATTTGATGTATCAACATGAGCTTGTTCATTACATTGACGAATTGTTAAATTAAGTTTAATTAATTGTTGTTTTATTCGATTGAGATCATCTTCAATATAACTTTCAGTTTTTTGTTTTTGTTGTAAAACTTGTGAAATTTGTTCGAGTTCATTTCGAATATTTTGATTTGTTTCTGAAACAATTTTTTTAATATTATTTCGAGCTTCTAATGCAATACGATCAATATTTGCATGCATTTCATTTTGCCATCGATTAATTTCATCTGAGCAAGGATCTAGATTTGATAAAGAATTATTAATTAATTCCATAAGTTCATTTCGACGATTGAAAAGATCATCTAATTCAAGTGCTAATCCATCGCGATGTTTTTTTAAACATGGAAAACAAAATGTACGTTGACAACCAGCACATAATGTTCCACCTGGTTGAGTACTACATAGAGTACATAACGTTGATGTATTAAATGACATTATCTAAAAAAATCATAGAATCAAATTTATTTCGCGAAAAACAAAATAATCATAAAAGATAAATCTAACACAATTCAATTAATATCTGTATTTTAATTTCCTGATTATTATATCATAAAAAAACCCTGTTTGTTTGTACTATGCATCTGATGTATGAGGAAGAAATGGATCCGAATCGAGTATTGTAAAAGTTGAATAATTAAATGGATCATTATTTAAAAAAGGATTTGCTTGTGTATTATTCGAAATCGTTGTTTCGGATTTTAAATTCGAATTTTCTTTTAATAATGATGAACCATATGAAGTAAGAGTAATTGGTTCAAACATTACAGATGTATCATGTTTTAAATTTATTTGTTTATCTCGATCATTAATATTTATATATTTAGTTTTAATAAGTTTTCGTAAATTATTCCAAATTTTCTCTTGAGAACTTTCTTGTTCATTATTTAATTCTGATAAATTAAAACGATTTCCCATGAATTTTTTATCGGCTGTAACATAGATTAATGAATTCCAATCTACTTTATTAGTTGCTGAATAATTTATTCGAATTTTTTCATTAATATGTTTAATAGTATGATCTAATTGTTCTAATTGATGTTTGACTCGAACAACATCATTATCTAAATAATTTTTTTCCTGTTGACGTTGTTCCATATCAATAGCAAGTTGATCTAATCGAGAACGAATATCAACCATATTCTTTGTCATCATTTCATGCGTAGTTTGTCGAGCATTTTCAGCAATTTGTTGAATACGTGTTATAATTTCTTGTTCCCATTGATCTATTGTAGTTAAACATGGATGTTCTTGTTCTGTTTGCCAAGTTGATTCAATAATATTAAACGATTCTTTTAATTCTTTTTGAACACCAATTAATTGTTCAAAATGTTTTATAAGTTCTTCATGATGTTTATTCATACATGGTAAACAATATAACCGATGACATCCTTCACAACGTGTATTACTTTTTCGTTCATTACAGCATGTGAATATCCGCAAAAGATGACATGTATTAAAAACCTTTTTATTTTACTCTACAAAGAAAGATCAACGAACGACGTCCTATAACGATAACTTCAAAGGACATTTCATGATATCTAACACTTAACTTGATATTTTATCTAAAGAAGAAGATACGAAATTGGTTTATTTACTTCTTACTACTAAAGTGTGTATATCTGTTACTTCTATTCTAGAAATATCTTGACAAAGAAAATATTAATATCGATGGATTCATTTTTTCTAATCATTTTAAAATACCATTTATTTATGCCAGTGTATCATAAATCTATTTTAAGTTAGTACGTTGATATGAGGGCAAATGAGCGAAAGGCTTTTTCTTGATGAGGGTATGGAAAAAAAGTGAGGGTGAGGGCGAAAGGTGTTTCGCAGTTGTGACTTTCGCTGAAAACCCTGTTCGCTGATATAGTTTTCGCTCAGCGGAGACCATATCAGTACGTGATATTCTACAACGTAAATAAATATATGTCACTCAGTACTATCTGATAATGTTGAAATAGCTGTCATTTCGTCTCTATCTTGTCCTTGTCTATACTCAAGAGTGTACGTTTTATTCATTTGATATTTCTTATAACTTTCTTTTCATTGATGTACCTTGACAAATTTTCATTATTATATTCTCTTCTTAATGTATTTATTGAATTCTATCGAGTATATTCAATAATTTCTTCATTTTGTCAAGGTAATTAAACAGTATCATACCATTTATGATGTATTTTTAATTTGATCATTTATATTATATTATCAATATAATCTAAGAATAAAATTAAATATTTAACGTTTATTTTCTTATATGCTTTAATTAAGATTCTTGTTTTTCTTTTGTTTTTATACGATCGATTAAAACAAAATATAGAGAAACATATTATAGCAATCATGATCAACAGAAGCATTACAAACAAAAGATATAGTAAAAAAATAAGTAAAACAAAAAACCATAAAATATATTTCTTTTGTTCGTCATTATACTTGTCAAACATGAAATATTTTTACAAAAAAAAATATACAGAACAGAAGCAAAAGGGAAACAAATTACTTTAAGAAAATGAATTCTATCCAAGTGTAACACACTATCACAATAAAATAAATTTCGAGATAATCACAATAATAATATTTATCCAACTTTATTTCTCTTTTTTTTCGAATTAACTCGATTATTATTTGTGATGTGAAAGTTACAAATAATTTCGACATACTGAACACATAATGTTTGTTCGAAGTTGATCATTATTTATCACATTTGTATGTTTGCAACGTAAACAAAGAATGTACCGTGATGCTATTGTTCTGGGTAATGGTTGTTGTAGTGGAGTGAGAAAATCAGAATTTCTCTGTGTTATTGGATTCATATTTCTTGTTGGAAATCGTACAGTTGTATTACGGTATGGAAGAGAATAAGAAGAAGTTCCATATTTCATGTTATGAGAACAATCAGAACATAGTTTAGTTGATGATGAATCTTTAAACAAATGTTTACACATAATACATGATTCAATTTTGCCTGTTTCTTGATCAAAATCGATTAAATTCGATGGTGAATCAGATTTTTCAAAATGAACAGGAATTGAAATAGATTTTTGTTGTCGTGATGAGTCTGAAATCGTATAAAAAAATATAAATCAATAAAATAAATCAAAAAAAAAATAGTTCTAGAGAATTTATTTTTAGTAATGTGATAAACTATGAAAGCCTATTTTGTTATTCGTTTTCTATGATTTAATGTGATATTAAAAAGCAAACCTAGAATGTCAAAGAACAAGAATAAGTGATTAAGAAATAATCACAAAGTAGAAGTAGAATTTGATTTGAGTATCTCACTTTTATCTCCTGTATATACATATTTATAGTACACAACACATCGAACTTTGTTTATTTGTATCTATAAAATGATATGAAAAGGATGAATTAAATGTTATTTAACTAAGAATCATATATATATATCTACTGAATATTAATCATAGGATTAGTATATGTACATATCTGTGAACAAGCATATGTATTTGTTAGTGAAAGCAATAATATAAGCATAATTAGCAGGTATTTGCGATGTATCATTCGATTAAATAGATAGCAAGGAAAAAATATTGAAATTAAAAATAAACAAGACTATCACGCACTCTTACATCAATCATAAACCCCTCTGGGTCGTAAACACGCCAGAGCAACTAGAAGACAGAAAATGTTTTCCAGTAAAGTTTAATGCATAAAAGATTGATAATAGCAATTAAAAAAGAGACATTTTTGTGATTATTTTTAAGTAGTATGCCTGGGTTTTTTTAGCTAAATAAAACACGCGCACGCGTAATAAAAACCAAATTTTTCTTGTTTTTTTAATTTCATGAAGCGCAAATAACGACTTACCTTGTTTAAATTTGGAATCATTTCCTCGAGAATTAGTAGTAGTAGTAGTAGTAAGAGTAGGAATATTGCTAATAATTTTTCCATTAGGACCTCGTTCCTCATAATTAGAATCCCAATTACTAAAATTTGTTACATTTTGTTTATTATAATTATCATTAGCTAGAGTATAACGTTGTATATGATTTTGTGATTCAGCATGTTGATTTAGCGGACGACGATTTTCATTGTATGTTATATGTGGTGTTTCATTAGTTATAGCTTTATCGTATGATGATCTTCGCTCATAAATAGAATTACTTTTTCTATCATCATTTGTTCGTGTTGCTAATGATGAATATGGTGGTGGTGGTGATGATGATAATACTTCAGTTTTTTTTGTTGATCGTTGATTTATATCATACGATGATTGATTAGAAAAATAATTATTTTGATCATATCTTCGTCTATCATCTTCTTCTTCTTCTTGTTGTAATTTTCTTTTTTGTGTTTCGTAAAAATCCATAAGATAATTATAATAAACAAGAAAATAATTACTATTATCATGAAAATGTTTATTGCCTAATTCAACACATCGAATAGATATGGGTGCAGATTTCGTATCAGGATAATGAGATAAAATTTTAATACGTAAATAATTTTGAAGTAATTTATTTATTTCATCTTTACTTCCATCATTACCTAAAAATCTTATGGGTAATAATGTTTGTTTTTGTATATGTTCAATTGATTGATAAAGTGGAAGAAAATTATCCGAAGATACGCCAGTATCTTTATCACTAGTTTGTAATGGACAAAAATGAGATTGATCATATGCTAATACAATTGGTGCTGGAATACAATCTTGTGGTCGTGTAAGAACAGGTAAATAAATACCAAATAGATCATTAACGGAAATTGCTTCACCATGTTTATTTCGTACAACATCTTCAGATAGAATAATAATTGGACGAGCAAGCATATTTGAGATTGAAAATATATGTACACCTTCAAGAAATTGTAAATTTGAAGCCGTTTGTCCATCATCAGGATTCTCATAACGAACAAGATCACATAATTCTTCCCACTCCTAAAGAAGAAAAAAAAACAAACATTAATCTTTTGTATTTCTTTTTAATTATAATTTACAGTATTAAGTTTAGATTCTTCAGATTGAATACCATACATTCTATCATTTTTTAATCGTTCGGTTTTCCAACTTGATTTAAGTACTGCATTATTTTCATTCATAAATTGACGAAGTCGATCACGTAAATTTAAATTAAAATCATGTACACCAGCCATTGCAATAAGAACAGCATGAAGAAGACAATTACCATTACCTGATGTTCGAACCGGATAAAGTTTTTTTAATGATGGCATCCAATTAATAACTCGAGTTTCAGCCATCATTTTAAACATTGCACGATCAACTAAACATCGTTGAAAATCTTGTGAATGATCTGGATCAAAAAATTCATGTGGTAAAACACTCGTATATTCTGTTAAATTAGGAAGAAGTTCAACAAGACGTCGATTAATAGTCTGAAGTATTTCATCACTTTGTAATTTATATTTTTCTGGAATTGGTAAAAAATCTTTATTTGATGAAGATGATGTTTTAGATTTTGGACCAGAACAATAATTTTGAAATGAATTAAAATAATGTGGATGTATTGTATCAGACTGTCTAGTTGTACGAGTTAATGTGCCTGAAACATTTGTTGTTTCCAGCATTGTATGAGAAATAATCAAATGAAAAAATTATATAACGTCGAATATTAAATATCATATAGAGACCACATAAATAAATAAATCTAAAGACTAAAAATAATGATTCATTATTATACGACGTCAAATATAAATAGAAGTAAATAAATCAGAGAAGAAAAAAAAACGATGACAGATTGTCGAGGAGTTTCTTTTTGTTTTTATATTCTTCCAGGAAAGAATTTTATTGATATATGATTAAAACAGAATCTCATTTTATGAAAGAAAATAATATGATACATAAAAAACACTATAAATGATGGATTTTAATGCTATATAAACATATTTTCATCATTGATCAAATAGGTAAATGTCAAAAATAATTTTATCATAAGCATGAAAATTAACACAGACTTTTTTTTATTTAGACATAAATAACACTTGTTGATTTTGTTTCCCTTTTTTTTTTCTTCTTTCCTGTGATACAAAAAAACCAACAGTATTAACAAAAAATAGTAACAACAACAACAACAGCAATACTCCCTCTTTTTTTTCTTTCTTTTTCTTTTCTTCCTCCAAAAGCAAAGAACGCGATTCCGTTTATAGACAAAAAAATATATTTTATTCTATACTATTCATTTTTTTTCTCTATTCAAAATGTTACTATTGATCATTTTTATTAGCATACTTATATATCCAATCGATAATTTAATAAAAGGTTCACTGTCTCCGAATACTGAATCTGAAACATCTGTTGATACTACATTACAACGCCCTCTAAAAAAAGATGGTACAGTAGTTAATACTGTGGATATATTAATGTCTCTTTTTCTAGGACAACCGGCTGTTATTGAAGGACAGTTTATAATAGCCGAAGGCAATTCAGATCATTTATTTCGACCATCTGATTTTCTGAAAGAAGAAGTAGTTCAACTTGGCGAAGCTGAGACTAAAGATACAAAAAATGACGACAAGGTTAGGTAATAGATTTTATTCTATCGTAATCTATTATAAAAAAAATACTACTTTAGTCATTCGTATGATACCATAAATCCATCTTTACCACATATTCGAATAATTCAAGGTCATTTTATTTATTATAATAACGATTCTGATGAACACTTATTTGATGAAGAGGAAGATTTTACAAAACATGATACTATCTTAAACTGAACTATTTTCTTTTTAATTGATGTACTGATCAAACCTTACGTCAGATAAACGCAATTTATATTTCTTTTCTGTCATATAAATATGATTCATTTTGTCTTCCTTTCTCATCTATGTCTAATAAAAATTATTCAAGCGAAATCGATCGCAAAAACAAATATTTAGATATTCACTTAAGTAAACTCATCTTTTCGATTATGATAATATTTCTATTAAAAAAACATGAAGATTTATGGTTAAAATATATATATCAATAATATGTATTGGAAGATAAATTTAGTTAAATAAAACAATCTATAGCAAAAATACATTGACATCATTGAATATAACAAAACATTTTTCAAAAAAATGTATATTTGTACTTGTTTGTTTGATCATTTGAATTTTTGTAAATAAAATAATGATATATTTGTATTTATTCAAATCTTTCATTATCAATAATGTATTTGAATAACCTTTTCAAATATTTTATTTCCCATATAAAATATTTTTTGGTGAATCATATTTTAATTGTTTTGTAAAGTCAATTCTTTTAAATACGCATGGATTATTATTCGATGGGAAGTGTGTGGTTGTAATTTAAATAGAAGAAGTTCTTATATTTTAATTTTAAATGACGCATTTCTAATATCATGTAAAACTAGTTTTATATATCTTACAGTTTAAAGTTAAAATACTAAATCAATATAGATAATTGATTTACCTTGTGTTTTTTTCTTTTTATTAATAAATTTTCATTTTGAGAACAATTTAATATTAGTCTAGATAAAGTCAATTAGAAAAACAAAATGAATTAAATTGTTTTTTTTTGCTATTACCTTTTAACCTCTACATTAACTTTTCATATGTATATATATGTTTTTATTGATGTGTACTTGTTTGTCAAGGATAAATCAATTAAAGATAACATTCATTTTCATGTGAGGAAATCAATCTCTGAGGAAAAACCTTCATAAAAATATTTATATTTATATTTAAAATAAAATATGCTCGAATGAAACAAAGAAGAAAAAGAAAATTTATTAATTATAAATGCGCAAATATATACATTTCTAAAGTCAAAGTCGAAAGATGTCAGTTTAATCCAATAAGTTCTATATTTTGGATAATGTTAATGAACTTTCTGTTTTCGAGTTTTTGAAATATATGGCATTTCCATTTTTACGGGCTCTTTCGATCCGGATGAAATAGAATTCATTGATGGTTCTATTTTTGGCATTGAAGTTAAAAACGGTTTTTTCATCGTGGCAGACTAAAAGATAAATATTTATCAATATGAAAAAATAAAATTTTATTGTATACTTTTGGTGTAAGTGGTGGAAACATTGGTACCTTGTCTTGTTTATTATTATCATCTTCTAATGTTAGATCATTTAAAACTGGCACAGGTATTGGACATTGTATTGGATAATTAATCATATTAAAATGGTTTTTATCATTTTTAACTGACTGATAGATTCGTTCTTTCTGATGATTGAAATCGTTATTTGCTATAGTCAAGAAAGTTATAATCTCTGGACGGTCTCGATTTGAATACGAATTATCTAATGTTCGTTTCGTTTTTAATGTTGTTACTGGTTTACTTGATATCTCTGTATGATATTTTCTTCTATCTTTTGAATATCCATGTATATCACTATTATCGTTAGCCATATTGAAACAAAAATAGAATAACTAATCTTTCTCAACTGATGAAGTATATAAATGAAGAAGAAGAGAAAAAAAAGAAACGTTCTCGACAATGTTGATTATGCAAAAAGTTCATTATTTTATCTTTATATATTCAACGACACAATATGGTAACTACCGTAGGTTATCAATTATTTGTTTAGAAAAACCTGCCATATTTTTGACAAGTAAAAAATGTCATCATACGTCATAATTTTTCTTCTCGTATTATATATTTCTGCTCATCTTATATGTTTATAAATAAACGATTTGACAAACAGTTAACCAGAAAAGAACACGAATACAAAAAAATAGGACAAATTGGAGAAACCAAAAAATAATAATAATAATAATAGCTGAACTAGTTGATGAAACAACGAATGGCATGCGGAAATCTATTATTTGTTCTATTCAAGGTCTGGTTCAGTCAAAATCGCACTACCAAGAGCAGATGATGAAGCCGAACCATGTACTGACTAAAGAAGAAGAAAACAAAAAGAAATAATATTAAAAAATATTTTAAGAACATACTTGAGCAATTCTTGGTAAACGCATGATTATTTCTTGGAATAATTCAGGTGGTAATGTTTGTTGAAATAACGCCATTAGATTTTGAGGTTGACTACAAACAGCAACTGCTTTTGCTAAATGATCAACACCATTATCGAGATCGCCTGTTTCAATATAAGATACAAAAACTCTTTTAGAATAATACAAAAAAAAAAGAAACATACCACGAGATAGACAATCTTCACCTTGTTGAATTTGTTCAAGAAAATAACGACGCATATCCTCTGGATTACTAGTGTCAAGCTAAAATATAACAACGATTAAATTTAAATATCTATTTTTAAGAATAAGTATCTCTTACATCACTGTGTGAACTACTACTACCACCACCACGTTGTTGTTGTTTCTTTCGTTCTATATTAATTAAAAAATTTCATAAAAAAAAGTACTCGAAGTTTATTTTTAGAAAATCTGCCTAAAGACATAATCCCCTTCTTTTTAGATTATATATTTTAGAATTAAAAAGTAGAAAAATACTAACTAGCTTTCAATTTTTCAGGAAAATCCGGTGCACTTCGTCGTTTTCGATCAAAATACACACAATATCCAACGAAACTAACACCAAGACCAACGGCTGCTACTAAAGGCCAAAATGTTCTACTACTCCCGTTCATCTAAAATTATTCCAAAATATAAACAAAATTTAATTATAAAATTTCAATTACGCTTTCATGTTATTGCTCAATACAAATCCACGTCATCAAAGGTATACAAGAGGAAGAGAACGCAACAACACGTTAATCATTATGTCTACGTTGACATGTCCACGTTGACTAGATTTTTTCATCTCTATATATATGATTCGAATTTTATATTGAAAATGAATTTATTACAAAATAACAATGGGTATTCTTATCAGTCGATTATATGATGCATTAGCTGCATTTTCTAATGGTACACCTTCGCGTATTCTTATGCTTGGTCTTGATGCAGCTGGAAAAACAACTATTTTATATAAAGTAAAACTTAATGAAACTGTTCAAACTATACCAACAATTGGTAAATAATAACCTAGTCTTTATTTCTTATTTCTTATTTTTATTATCTAGGTTTTAATGTTGAAACAGTAACACCTGCACCAGGAATTACATTTACAGTGTGGGATATTGGTGGACAAGATAAAATACGTCCATTATATAGACATTATTTTGAGAAAACAGATGGACTTCTTTTTGTTGTTGATTCATCAGATCAAGATCGATTTAAAGAAGCACGTGATGAACTATTTGGTATTGTTACTCATGAAAGTATGTCATCGGTACCATTCGTTATTATTGCAAATAAATCTGATCTACCAACAGCTATTAAACCAAGTGAACTTATTGAACATCTTAGTTTACATTCAATCTCAAGACAACGATGGTATATTCAATCAGCATGTGCTGTTAATGGCGATGGTCTTGTTGAAGCAATGACACAATTATCAAATATGATAAAAGAAAATCGAAAACGTACTCATAACTAAAGTTTATTCTCATGTTCTTTTTACTTTTGTGTATATAATATTATTTGAATAAAACATATATAAAATAATAATTTATCTTAATATGAAAACTACATATAAAAATATTTTCTTCAAATTCAAAAGATTACTTCTAAATTTTTCTCTTTATTTACAAAAGAACAACAGCAAGTGCTTTTCTATTATGTAAATAAACTATATATCATCAGCTGTAATACAAAATTCTTGCTTATCTATTGAGAAAATGCTTAAATTCAACTAAATGTTTTGAATACTGTCTGAATATAACAATGATGTGTACGATTACGAGGGATAAAGTTTCGTCATCTTATTATCTATGTCCCATAGCTTTTATCAAGGGTTTGAATGAATTACTCTTAACCAAGTACATAAAATGTTTGCTCATGTCTTAAATTTAACTTAAAGTTTTATTTAAACAATGTTGCTGCCAAATTTTTTTTTCAAATGAATAAAAACGATTATTTCACAAGCAAATGCAATGCGTCATTTCATTCTTGCATTTGTTTTTCATCTATTTCACTCTACGGTCTTACGTCAGTGTATCGAATTATGTTGCTGTTTTTTAATAAAAACAAAGTTTTTTTGTCATTTCTTCTATATGTAATTTCAACATAATAGTGATGAATCATAGAATTGCGACACGTTGCTTAGGTGAGGTAATATACATCATTTCTACAGCTAACCTGAGTCATTGAAATAATTTTCTTCTGTTCATGTTGTTGTCGACGTGTCTTAAACGACGTGGCAACAAGTAAACTTTCGTTAAATACCGCTCGTTTTTAAAATATTATTCGAAAACATTCTTCAATTACTTCATATCTAATATTATCACAAAACAATGGGTCTTTTTGTCAGTCGTTTGTATGAAATGTTCGAGTCATTCAATACTGGACCACCATCACGAATTCTAATGCTCGGTCTTGACGCAGCTGGCAAAACAACAATTCTCTATAAAGTTAAACTTAATGAAAATCTTCAAACTATTCCTACGATTGGTATATATATATATTAACTACCTATTTTTACCGTATTTAACTATTTATTTTCTAGGTTTTAATGTTGAACAAGTTAGTCCATGTCGTGGTGTTTCATTTACTGTCTGGGATGTATGTATATTAACTAGTGAAATCTAGATTTAACTCTATATTTACATTTCTTTTCCTTAATTAGGTTGGAGGTCAAGAAAAAATTCGTCGCCTTTGGCAACATTACTATCAAAATGCCGATGGTTTAATATTCGTTATTGATAGTAATGATCAAGAACGAATCGAAGAAGCTCGAGAAGAACTTCATGGTATTCTCTCAGCACCTGATATGTCCAGAGTACCACTCGTTATTTTAGCTAACAAACAAGATTTACCTAGTAAGCTCAACTATTTTTCTCCTGTTTCTTTTATTTCTAAAATTTTCTTTTTCTAGATGCTATGAAAACTTCAGACATTGCTCTTAAATTAGGTTTGAACACACTAGCTGGTAAACATAAATGGTTTATTCAACCAGCATGTGCGGTAACTGGCGATGGTTTACTTGAAGGAATGCTTGAAATGTCAAATCTCGTTAAACAACATCGTAAAAATGATTATTAATCAAAAACTAAAAACTACGAACTCTTTGCTATGTAAATTATATTGCTTTTGGAATTTTTCTAGTTTTTAATAAAACAAAGACAATATTTGTATAAGTATATTTAATTTTTTTTGTTTCTTAATCAAAAGCTGACCCAAAAAACAATCGACAATACAATTATAGAAAAAAAAACGAACAGTTAACAATGTATTCCTAATTGACCGAAATAAATAAATAAATGAATGAGTAGGACTTTTTTTTTTCTCAGATAAACTTATTTGACAAAGTCACTGTAAATTGCAAGAAAATCAATCAGATCAGTATAATTCATCATTATTATTCGCATTGAATCGAATAGGAAACATTAACGCTTTAGCACTCATGAAACTTAAATTAGGTAAAGTATCGATAATACGTTTTGCATCATCTGTTAATGTTGTTGTTGAACCAGGAAAAAGATCGATTGTTTTTATTGGTGCTGAATGTCGAACAATTGGACTTTCATTTCTTTGGATAGATCCAGATGATGATGATGTATGTTCTTCTTCATTGGAAGACTTTGCTGCTGGAACATAAAAGTCCAAATCAAGTGTTTTATTTGCATCAAATACTATAAAATGAAAATAAAACAACAACGTACAAATAAAATTTTTGTACATTAATAAAATTAGTTTTTTTTGTTGAAGAATATTTGTTAGTAATTACATGCAAGAGCATTCATTTATTAGTTTGAGTTAATCACGTGCGATTTAACTTACCATTATCCTCATTCTTACTGCTGATATTTGATGAAAGTGATGAACTATCGTTATCTATATATGGATAATTGATTTTTTTTTCTTATAAATATATTTTCTTTTTTTTTCAAATATATAATTTTCAATAATAAATATTATATTATTACCTGTAAGAGGATTTTGTAAACCACTTTGTTTCCAATCGAAATGTGGACGAATAGATTCAGTTGATAACTAAATTAATATACAAACATGTAAATTTGATTTTTATTGAATATGTATTTTACTTTATTTTCATTATTGACGTTTTCAGATTCATTATTGTTTGATGTATTTGCTTTGATGGGTTGTAAAACTTCCGGTGTTAATGGAACATTTTTTGCCTAGAAATTTATACAGATTATCATTTTTAATTGAACAAAAAAAAAGTACATACACGAAAACGTTCATTAACACCTAGTGCTTGATGAAAGAAACGTTCTGTATTCGATTTACGCCATTGAAATCGAACTCCTATTGGATCATTCGATAGATTTGATAAAACATTCCATAAACTTTATAGAAAAACAAATAAATATTAAAATATTATCTAAGAAAATTTAATATTTACGAGAGACTAGATTCAAGATGTGATAGTTGTTTTGATGGATGTTTATAAGTAGTGAAAGAAGGTAATTCAACAGGAATAAAAGAATCTTCATCTGTAGAAGATGTCGCAGATTCCATAGAAAAACATGTAGAAATTAAAGATTCAATTTGTTCAGGAGTTGTTGTATTCTAGATGTAATAAAATAGGTTAGATTTGAATAAAAAATAAAAATAAATGAATTTACAGTTTGTAAAGAAGGTATTGGAGCGGCTTGTACTTCAGTAAATTCACCAAAATCATCATCTTCATCTTCATTTTCTGTTGTTATTGTAGCAAATTGTTCATTAATAGGTGACTGCAATGATTCTTCAGAAGGTGAAACTGGACTTGATTCAAAATTAGCCCAATCATTCTCAGTACTTGCTTCAACTACTGCAGATGTTGGTGTAGGAAGACTCTCTGAAATTACATCTGTGGTATTTTCAAATGAAGCAAAATTCGCCCAATCATCATGATTATCATTATGTTCTTCTTGTTTTGGTTCGTCATTTGTGAAATTAATATTTGTTGAAATACTTTCACTTTTAAAACTAGCTATGTCATCATTATTATTATTATTATGTTCTTCTTGTATTGGTTCCTCATTCGTTAAGTTAATATTTGCTGAAATATTTTCGCTTTTAACAATAGCTATATCATCATTATCATTATTATGTTCGTCTTGTATTGATTCTTCATTCGTTGAGTCAAGATTTGTTGAAATATTTTCGCCATCAACAATGGCTATATCATCATGATCGTTATTATGTTCTTCATTGGTCGAATTAATATTTGTTGAAGTATTTTCACTTTCGACAATAGCTATATCATCATGAGTATTATTATGTTCTTCTTGTATTGGTTCTTCATTCGTCAAATTAATATTTGATGAATTATTTTCATCTTTATCAATAGCTATATCATTGTGTTCGTCTTGTATTGATTCTTCATTCGTCGAAGTAATATTTGTTGAAATATTTTCACTATCAACAGTAGCTAGATCATCTTGAATTTGAGCAATATCAGTATCATTATTATCATCTACTGATTTCCAATCTTCATTACTATCATTTAATACATCCGATGGAGTCGATGATAATATTGCATTATTTTCAATAGTTGAAATTATATCATTTTCTTCAACATCATCGTCAAATGGTGGCGGTGATGTGTCATGAACAGGAGGCAAAATAACAGAATGGCTCATAACATCTATATAGATAAAACATCATATATATATAAATGAAGTAAACAAACAAAAAAAACAAAATGAAAAGAAACTGAGTGGTTTTATAGATATTTATTTGTATAACTTTAGTACATATACAATATGACAAGAATAAGAGACAACAAAAGGGAAATATTAGTTCTTTGTAATATTTCAAGAATAAAAAGAAATAATTAATCCATCTTGATTAAGTTTATTTCTAGTGATACCCAGGAGGTAAGTGTGCATCTTTTGAGCGACTAGCACTTAAAACAACATATGGTTGTTGTAATTGAATTTGTTTTTGTTTCAATAAATTACATGTATTTAATGGTGTATCAACACTTGACATTTTTTTCATCATCTAAAAAGAAAATAAATGAATTTATTTTGATTATTTTGATTAAATTCATACCTCTTCTTCGACTTGTTTTTTAGCTCGTTTTTCTGTCTTCTTTTTACCACTACCTTTACCGTGAAAACGATGTGAAAGAAGACGAAATGCTTCTTTTTCATTAATACGTCGACCATTATCATCACAGTATTCAAGATTAACTTCTGGATGATAATGATCTTTTTCTTTGAAATCAGTTAATGGTCCAGATGTATAACGATCACGTCGAGCATGTTTGTCGTCAATTTCACTAAAAGCAAAGATAATCTTATCAATAACTACAATTCAATTTAAACATCACATAATAAAAAAATCGTGATTTTCTATAGATTTGCAATTCAATAGAGTTATGTATATGAGAGAAAATCTATTTTGTAAGCTTCGAATAATATCATTTCTCAGATATAGACTATTTCCTTATTAGAAGGTGTCACGTCTTGATGTATGAAGATGGATTTACACACATCAGTAACGATTAGATATATATGAAGTAATGTATTGGAAGATTCCAAACGAAGAGATAATATATCAGATATAAGAAAACGGAAAAGTCTAATGACAATGTCACTACATCATAAAAAGTATATGCTATACGAAGTGTACCTTTCAAAGAATGAACATATCATTTTCTATGAAGTAAATAAAGAGTTATAAAATATCTATATTTGTACTAATGTTGAATAACAATTTCATTATCTATTTTTATCTATTACACAAAGTAATCATGCCTACAATACACTTACTGACAATATATAGAAGATAGATGATGAAGAATAGAAATAGATTAAAAAATGTGACACATATGTTCATTTTAGCAACGATATAATACCCAGAAGAATTGCACAAAATGTGTTCATAGTAGTGAGACATTTACAATAAAACATATTATGTCAGAATATTTCTTATGAGAAGTTTTACTATATTAGAAATGAATGAATTCTATCCTAAGTAGAATTTAAATCGAAATCATGTATTCTATGCTTACAAGAAATTTTTTCTCGCTTATTTGCATTAGAGAAATTTTAATATTTTTTAAAAAATGATTGATACTTACTATGAATTTTTTTCTTCAACTGTGTAATTTTTAGCTGAAATATCACTAACAAAACGAGCATTTTGACGATTTTTTTCTTGTTCAATATAACCTATTAAAATATCGAAATGTTAAATGAATATACAATATAATTCAAGAAGAAAACAAACCTTTTTGCATAGCCAGTCGAAGTGCACTACCAAGACCACGATCAAGTGTTGCTTCAGTAGATAAAATTGCATCTTCAAGACGAAATGGTTTTGTATTAATATCTTCAGCTGGTGTATCATCCATTGCACCGTCATCTAAACCTTCATTTTCGAGTGCGTGTTGTATTAATTCATCATCGGAATCTAATGCTACATTTGTTTTTGATGTTGATTTTTTAGTTGATGCAACATTTGTTTGTTTGCGTTTTTTTGATGCTCGTAATGTAAGTAGATTTGTTGTTGGATCAACAGCATTTTCACCAACATTACGACAAAATTCTGACATTGTATCAAGTACAAGATTTTTATCATCGGGTGGAATTGGACCTGGTGGAAGAATAATACCAGTTTCCATAGGTTCAGATTTAATTTCAACTTTTAATTTACGATCACGTTCTTCAATTAATTCACTTAGTGCCTAAATTAAATAAAATACAATTATTTTTCAAAAATCGAATTTATGATATTTTATCTTTATTATCCTTTTCCTTCTGTCTAATAAACGAGTATATAAACGTATACTTTATATGAAAATAATGTGATTCTTAACATAGGAATATAATATCACGAGTATTACCTCCTCTGTATGAGAAATTATCATAAATACAAAAGATAAATCATACCTTTTCAGTTGATATACTATCTTTCTTCGTTTTAAGTTTCATTGTTTTATTAACAACAGCTTGAAGTTCATCGAATGCATCATCATTAACAGCAAAACTAGAAAGATCATCATCGGCATCCAACATATCTTCTAAAATATAAATCATTTGTTAATCCATATATTAATATAGGTATAGAAAAACATTTTTAGCATACTCCACTAGATATCTTTACAACCCCATAGAAATTTTAATATTTGATTACACTTACCATTTTCTGTTGTTGTTATCATTTCTCGTTTGATTTTATCAAGAGAAATAGTAGACGGACGTTCTCTAAAAACATAAAACATTTTAATAAATAAAACAAGAAAATCTGGAAAAACATACTTTGTTGCCGATGCAATTGCTGTAGATCGACGAGTTTCAGCTGGACGTAAAGATATCGATGCTGATGATTCCTCTGGTTCATTACTATCCATTGTTAATAGGTCGTCAGCTTTTAACATTTTTCGTGATCGAAGCTTTTTCTTAGTTACCTTTTTTGGTTTTTTGAATTGTTCCTAAAAACAAATAAATGATTTTATCGTTTAATAATATAGAAATTTTATTTACCATTTCAGCAGCTGTATAAAATTCACTAGCTACTTTTGGTGTTGGTACTACTAAACTTTGCATTCGTGCTCGAATTTCTTGTTTCATATTGTCCATGACTTTCTCATCTGACATATCATAAACACCGCCGGATTCTAAAATATAATTAAAAAAAAGAAATGTTGAAGAAAACAAAAATATTCGGTTTTGTTTTAAATATATTTACCAAGTCGAAATGATGATTTCTTTTTTTCATCATATTGATCAAGTAATTTATTTGGATTAAACTAAATATACAAAAAAAATAATTTATTAAATTAATTAATTTCAGAAACTTACCATTCCAAATTGATCCGGTGTATCATCTTCATCAGCATAGCCTCGATAACCAGGTGTTTTCTTTTTTGCTAAATCAGCACGTTGTTTAGCTACTTCATTATCAGCAATATTAACATTTATTAAAACATCTTCTTCTTCATCATCATCATCTTCGTCACCATCTTTTTTATCACTCAAAATTTCTATAGAAAAAAACAAAATCTTATTATATATTTCTTTTAAATTAATTAATTAACAAACTTTTATCTTTCAATGTTAATATAACTTGTTGTCCTTCTTTAAATTCTTCAATTGAATGTTCAATACGAAGACCACTAAGATCTTTCGACGCATATCTCTAAAAGACACAATAAGAAAATGAAGATTAAATGTTTATATATCTCATTAAATGATCAGAGATTTTATTCTCTTACAATAGTTTATATCTCTTGAAACGACTGATATATTTAGCTTTTTCATTGATTCTAAAAGTTTTTCTTATATTATGAATGAACGCAATATGGTCTATCATTTATATCAGATATTACCTTATTGTTTTGTTTCGATGCTTCTTGTTGCATTAAATTATCAACGCCAAAGTCATCATCCATTTGTTGAAGTAATTTAGCCTTAAATAATAAGAATAAAATTTATAATTTGAATATTTATTTTAAATAATACATACACGTGCAGATGCTTTACGTTTTTCTTCATCCATTTGACGCATTTTTTCAACCCAAGATGTAGCAGAATCAGCTTTTTCAGATGCTATAGTTGGTGTTGTCCTATGAAGATGAAGAAGAAAAATTAAAAATTAAATTTTATTTATTGAGAATACATACAAAAATTTTCCTTGTAATTGTCGTTTTTCTTTTTGAACAGTAAGTTTTTCCATAACCTGTTCAGTTCGTTTTTTTTCTGTAAGATTTACTGCTGGTTTAAAAACATAATTTTCATCACTATTTAAGCCTTTTTTTGGTGCATCAGGATCTGTTGCTGAATTGCCATCACTTGTTAATGGTTTAAGACCAAGTGATGCACGTAATTTATTGGTTTCATCGATTGACAATGACATACGCTCAGTACCTTCACGTGTACTATTTGATGTGTCAGCTGAATTTGATTTTGTTGGTGTTGGTGATGGTGATCGAGATTTATCATCATTAGAAGGTGAACGACGTTCACGTTCTCGTACTTTTTCAACACGATCATGGTCACTTCGATGTTTGTCTAAATAAAACAAATCGCAGAATAAATACAGAAAAAAATAGATTTCATATAAGATATTTACGTTGTTTCGTATTTTTTTCTTTTTTTGTATTGGAAACCATGATTTGTGATGATGATCTGTAATAGAATAAATGTAAATTTCTCTGCTGTTTCGTAAACAATATAGATTGAAATATGTTTCGAAAGTGTAAAGGCCATAGGATAATCACAAGAAATAAAATTACCTCTACAATAAAGGCGCTAGTGATCAATCAATATTCACGTATATTACTGACATCTACTGTGAATTTAGTTTGACAATTAGATATAAAAAAAAGTAAAGTTGTTATCTGATAGATATGAATCAGAACTATGGAAAAGTTGTAGAGACTTTCATCAATGTATTTTGATTTATCTGGTACTCATTTGACACCTTCCAGATAGACAGTTTGTATATTAAAATCATCGAGTGGACCCTATCGAATGAATCTGGTTTTAATGTTTTCAAATTATTTTCAATCATAAAATATTCTTTTCGAAAATTCAACTGTGCTATATTTATGTGCAAATGTGTTCTTGTAGCATTAGAATAATTTTGAGGGTTTACACTTTATTGAGTTGTATAATAACCAAAGTTCATGTTCTTTTGTTTCATAATGATCGTCTCTCGTTATTCGAATAAAAATTTGTTTTTCCATTATGTTCAAAAATTTTGTACACTGTTGTTATTTTTTCTAGTGCAGTAATATCCATAGGTTTTTCCTTAAAATAAAGCGATGAAATCAGATCATCTCAATATGATTCATAGTTTTATTAATTAGACAATTTTCTTAGTCTGATCGATGATTTCCATATAAGATTATTCATTTATTCTTGAATATTATTTACAGATATATTTTCAAATTTACAATTGAATAGATAATTTCAATGAATAATCAATTTCTACGACTTTATTGTAAACAATAATAATTTAAAAATCTATCGAGCTAATATATATGCATTGAATAGAATAAAAGTATTACAAAAAAAATATCGATAAAAAACTTTACAAACAATTCAAGCTTGAATTATTATTTTAAAAATTTTAATATCCGCAGAATACTTAGACATAAGTAGGCGGTAGTACTTTACTTGGTAAAGGAAATTACTGAACTTTACTTCGCTGAGTGAAGTAAAGTACTTCTTGTACTTTACTAAAAAAAACTAAAGTTAAAAAAGTGTGATTTTCTCGATCTAAATATGAAAAGTTTTGCTTCTAATTCTACTTTACCGAGTAAAGTAAAGTTAAATACTTTACTTTTTCAACGCAGAATAAAGATGCAGTGCCACCCCCCGCACTTAAGTATCGCTTTATTAGAATTTACAAACAGCGAGTAAAATCATATAGATACATTTTTTTTTATCTATGTCAAAACTTCTACTTGTTTAATAGATGAAAACTCATTTAAAGGTACATATTAATTAACTTAAAAATATCATGTTCAAAATCCTGTGGTGAATCCGTTCTGATCTCTATTCTAGCGATATTTTTTTTTAGTTAATTAATATTATTTCTAGTGTAGAACATATCCGTCAACAACTACCGGATTTCATCTGTTCGTGTCAAAGTCATACACAGTATGCTTTTAGAAAATCTATATTAATTATTTATGTAATCAATTTTTTAATCGAAAAGTTTCCTCTAAGATTCTATTTTTATTTCAATGTCATATTTCTTATATCCTTTTTTTAAATTATATTCGAGTTCTATGCAAATATCGGTTATTAATTATATATCAATAACTTCATATAATTAGGAGGCATATTTTTTTTTTGTTTTAATATAAAACTAATAGAGATTTATTATTTTTTACGGTTAATACCATTGATATTCATTAACTTTGACATTTTCTACAACAAAAAAATAGTAAAATAATTATTTTCACTAATCCAATCAAAAAAAACAGAAACGTATATATATATATATATATATGAAGAGAAGTATATAGTCAGTTATAAAGATTCTTTGTATAGTATGACTTTTTAGATCGAACTCCTTACAAAATCTATATCTAGGTAAAAGTAAGATTTTTGAAATAACTATACGATTTCATTTATATGATATTTAACTAATTATCTACACTACATATTATTGTTAGGCTTTTTAATTATTATATTTTTGACCCATTTCTAAGAACATATTTTTCTACGGATGTTCATTTTTAAAACTAACAATTAGTTGGTATTCGTTACTTTTGACTTAACAATTCGACAAGTGTCATCTTGATCTATAACACTTAAGATTAAGTTTTACATGATCTAATATATTCTGTGTGATTTTCTTCACATTATAGGTGTAAACACAATAGACGTAATTTCTCGAAGGATGTTACATCTCTTTCAGAATACTAATGATTACACTCAACTTTTTTTCTTCTAGAAAATGATTAACTCTAACAGTAGATTGTACAATTGCGATCTAACTAATAACATAAAATCTAATAGATTGTATTCAAAGTAAGTACAAAAATAACGAGTGACAATAGAAAACAGCACACTGAATTAACAGAATATACGTAGTCATGAAAAACAAATGAGTTAGGCCGTTTTATTCATAATTTTCTGTTAAACGTACATACTGTTTTTTTTCTAAGTTTATTATTGACGTCGAAGGATACAATGTCGCCTTGAATTCTCGGACAAGTTCATTTAGATAACCATATGTTCTTTTACATCAAATATTTTCTAGCAGTATATTATTGAGTTCGTGTCTGACTTTACTATTTGCTTACTTTGAGAAAAATAGACAGAAGGTTACTTTCTTTAATTACTTATCTTTTTTAAATATTTTAGCATTTTTTGGTAAAGCAATCTGTCTATATAATAAGAAAAACCGAAGAAGAGGAAGAAACTCTACATATTTTTTTCCTATTGATAAAAACAGCATTTTTTTATAGGTTTCTAAAAACGAGAAAAAAAAACGAGTTTTCTTTTTTTTTGGAATGTTTTCTCGATAGAATTCTACACGCGTCAATTACGTTGGCGTAAAAGTATTTAAGACATCAAACTATTCAGAGCTACAAGTCATTTAGTAAGTGTTCTTACAGTAAGTAATAATAATTGTTTTAGTTATGGCTGACTCGTATATTCTCCATTGATATATCATTATTATAAGTATTTACCGTTCATTTGGGAATTATTTGTATACCATTAGAGTAATGTCTTTTTTAGAATATGTTTATTATTTAGAAGTGAAACGAGAAAATAGTCTATCTTTTCTAGATTTTCAGTTAGGACATCATTTTTATTACATCATATCAATAATAATCATCTTCAATGCAAGCATTCTATATCATATCAATTACATTAGGTAAATTTCATATCTCTTCGAAATTTCGTTTTATTTCAAATATTCAATTTAGTTGTACTTATTGTTCAATTTATCAATGCTGTACCACTACATCATCATGCATCTGATACATTAAATTCATTTCTGGATGATGAAAATGGATTCATTGATGATGAATCAAATTTATCAAAACGAAAAATGCCAACTGAAGGTATTCTCATCGGTAAGCGAGCATTTCCAGGTGAAGGAATCTTACTTGGAAAACGTAATTATCCAATGGAAGGAATTTTACTTGGAAAACGTGAATATCCAACTGAAGGAATTTTACTCGGTAAGCGTGGGTATCCAACTGAAGGTATACTTATAGGCAAACGTAACTTTCGTTTCTAAACACTGAACTCAATGGCTTATAATCGCGATATGAAAACATTAACAAGACGAAAAGCATAAAAAATAAATTCTTTTTTTTTGTTCATGTACTTCAATTTTCTTTTTACATTGTTCATATATAATTCAACGTTTGCAGATGATATGACCTATTGAATAATAAACGAATGACAAATAAAATTGACAAAAATAAAACTAATTCAAAATTTTTTTGTTTTTCTTTTGTTCACTCATTCGATGATGATTTACAATCGCAGAATTAACAATGAAAAAAAAAACAAATAGATAACATACAATAATACTAATGACAAGATTATAATAATTTTATCTTTGCTGAAGTATTTATATATTCTCAATAGGTTAGTAATGGACTTTTTTCTTTTTTTTTTTATTAATTTCGAAATAAAATGAACAGAAGAAATAGAATCGAATAAGAAGAAAGGATAAGGAGAGAAAGTGTTTATTTTTACAATAAAAGAAATAGACAAATAGATAGAAACTGAAAAAAAAAGAAATCGATTAGATATGCGCGAACAATGTACATATTGATCGAGTATTTATCTTTGTGCTGATTAAACATCCTATGAACCTTCTTGACCAAACTCTTCAGTAAATTTTTTCTGTAACAAAAGGTCCTTTTCACCTACTGTTGGTTTTTGTGTATTAAGAGCAGCTAACATATCAGCCTAAAAATTAAAATTAATTTATATTATTTTTTCAATTCTATCATTGTTGTATGATTACTTACAATAGACACTGGTGGTTCACATAATTCCTCAGAATTTATTTTATCTAATGTAATTGCTTCAGCTGCTGGATCACCAGGTGAACAAGCTAGCCATTGGATTCGAGGTCCATCTGGTTTTGGATTTTGGACCTATATCAGAATCATACAACTAGTTAATGAATAGTAAAGAACACAAAAAGAACTGACTTTTTTGAAATGTGTTGCTGTACCAAGTCGTCGAATAGGTCTTAACAATGCTTCACGACAAACAACAGCAATATCAGCACCAGAATAACTAATACAAATAATCAATATATACTTCACTATATACTATTCAACACTTACTGTTCAGATCTTTGTGCAAGTTCCATCCATTCGTTATCTTTGACTGTATGAAAAGTATTAGTACCCAAATGAGTTTTAAACATAGCTGCACGTTCATTTATACCAGGTAGAGGAATATAAATTCGTTTTTCAAAACTAAAATCATTCAAAACAAATCACATATATATATCTATACTTGTGATTGAAATCATACCGTCGTCGAATAGCTGTATCCAGTGACCAAGGAATATTAGTTGCAGCAAGAACAAGAACACCGTTATTATCTGTTCCAACACCTAATAAAACAACAATTTCTATATTCATATCACTAAATAAAAATAACATACCTTGCATTTGAACAAGAAATTCAGTTTTAACACGTCTGGATGATTCAGATTCTGTATCACTACGTTGTCCACATAAAGCATCGATTTCATCAATAAATACAATACATGGTTGTCGTGCACGTGCAAGTTCAAATAAAGTTTTTACACCTTTCTCACTTTCACCAAGCCATTTCGATAGAAGATCTGATGAACTGACTGATATAAATGTACTTTTACATTCAGTAGCAATAGCTTTAGCTAAATATGATTTGCCAGTACCAGGAGGCTAAAATGAAAATGAAAATATATGAGATGACGAAAAGTATTAAGAACTTACTCCATAAAGTAAAATACCAGCCCATGGTTTACGTTTTCCTAGATAAAAAATACCAAAATCATATGACAAGACAATGTTATCTAGACTATCTACCTTGAAAGAGTTGTGGAAATTTAACTGGTAAGATGACAGCTTCTTTCAATGCTTCTTTTGCTTGTTCCAATCCGATAACATCTGCAAAACTAACATTTGGATCGGTAACAATGGCTCCTAAAATCAAAAATTAACAATAATATGTCTCACAGATATATGTATAAAAAATGTACCTTCAAATTTTTGCATCATGCGTCTTTTATCTGGATCATCATTATCATCATCTTCACCTTTATTATCTTTTGAACTTCCTCCACGTCCATTAGCACTATCAGCAACTGCTTTCTTCTTAACAGGGCCTTTTTTCAAAATTTCTTTTATTTCTTCTGCTCGTTTCACATAACTTTCTATTTTAGGTCGTATTGTTTGTTTCATTTGTGCATTCATAGCTCCTCCATCTAAAATAAAAACATTTGTTTTTTTTAAATCAATATAATCATCATTATACACTAACATTTCATTGCTTGCATAAGCCAATCTGCTGCAGTCATATAATGTTGTGCAGCGGCTGCATAATTTTGTGCTTTATCCTCAGCTGTAGCTTGTTCGGCACTTCGAATTCCTTTCTAGATAAACAGACAGATATATATTTTGAAAAAATAAATTTAATAATTCTTACCTGTATATAATCGCTCTGTCCACTACTCATTATTGTAAAAGTAATTAAGAACTATATGAAAAATATTAAATAAATCGAATTAGTAATACATCTAATACAACAAAATCATATTCATATCTAAGAAAAAAAATAGAAATATAAGTAAAAATCCAAGTAATTTAATTTTCTCATATGATTTTTATAATAGAACAATAAAACAAAACGAAAAAAGTTGTTTATTTATTCACTTGCGTCAACTGAGACAAAATAAATATAAAGTAAATGAATGCTGAATAAGAGATGACTCATCGAAATCTGAAATTCATGCGTCTGTCTGATTGAATGCTCTGATAATAGTCAAATAGAAAAATTAATCCAATTAAACAAAAATAATTATTCTTAATCATAAGAAAAAAAACTAAACTAAGAAAGTTTTTTTTTTAATTTCTTATATGAATTATTTTTCTTCGTTGGTTATCGCTCTATATACCGGTATCCATATTAATTATATCATTAGATGGCGGGAGTAGTACTATAAAACAATCATTTGTCATTCTAAAATGAGAATAAAGACGAAAATTATAATGTTTAATTTGTACTTACTTTCCAGATGGAACAAATAGAATACGAGAATCGTAATAAAACGTTTGTATTGAGTCCAGTACTAAATTAGTATAATATTAAGAAAGAAAAATAAATACAATCGATGACTATATATTTATATTTTATTGTCAAACATTGATGAATAATACATGAAACAAAATTATTAAGAAATAACTTTGATTGATTTTTTTTTATGAATTATCTTTAGAAAATTGTTGATATTCGATTAAATCATTTTGAGTAGTTGTAGGTTTTACTTTATCAAGTGCAGTCAACATATCTGACTAAAATAAATGTATGTTTTCTTTTCTTATTATCATTAATAAACATTTATAACTACTAACCATAGTTACTGGAGGTATATACAATTCATTAGACTTAACTGCATTCAAGTTGATTACTTTAGCATCTGCATCGTCTGATGAACAAATAAACCAAAGTTGAGGAGGTCCGTTAGATTCTGGATTTGCCGTCTACGTAGAAATCAGTAAAAGGTTTTAGATAAAAGATACAAATAAGAAACGTTTATTACTTGTTTAAAATGCGTTGCTGAAACTAATTGACGAATTGGTGCCATTACGGCTTCATGACAAATAACTGTAATATCAGCAGGAGAATAGCTAGGAGAAAAATAGACTCATTCTGCATATTATGAAATGTAAAATCTACTTTTCAGTTTTTTCTGCTAATTCTATCCATTCATTTTCATTAATAGTATGATTAATATTTGAATCAAAAATTTTCTTTAGCATAGCTACACGTTCATTGATATCAGGTAGTGGAATATATATTCGCTTTTCAAATCTATAAAGTAAAATGTCAAAGAGTATAGATATTTCAAGATAACATATAAATATAGACATCGTACTTTCGTTGAATAGTTGCATCAAGTTCAAATGGTTTAGTACTGGTAGCAATAAGAAAAGTATTCGTATTGCCCTTTTCTATATCTAATAGATTATAATAAAAATAGATTGAGTAATTAATTTATACCATTGAATATAGGTTTTACTTTCTATTTGAATTAGAAATTCTGTTTTTATACGTTGAAATCTGTCGTCATCTGTATCAGTATTTTGTTTAGACAAACTATCGATATCATCAATGAACAAAATAGATGGTTGTTGTTGATGAGCTAATTCAAATATCTTTCTAATTAATTTTTCAGGTTCAGCAATAAATTTTGATTGTAACTCCCATGCATTCAGAGAAATAAATTTAATTTTACATTCATTAGCAATCGATGTAGCTAAATAAGTTTTTCCAATACCAACAGACTTAAGTAGAAGAAAAAGCAAAAAAATGAGATCGAATAAAAATGAATGCATAGACTTACACCATAGAGTAAGACAGAGGTTGATGATTTACATTTATCTGAAAAAAATAGAATAAGAATAGGTTTATCATAATACATTCTCGTATACCTTGAAAAAGTTTTGGATATTTAGCAGGCAAGATAACAGTTTCCAATAATACTGTCTTAGCAAATGCTAAACCAATAACATCATCAAATGTTACTTTTGAATCAGTGACAATAGTATCTATGAAATATACATGTTAAATTTATAAAATAGTCTTGCTAAATGATTTAAGTTTTTTTCCTAACTTTGTATAAGATTTTCATCATATGTACTTTCTTCAATATCTTGATTGTTTATTTTATCTTTTAAATTTGCATAATCCATAGTATCATCAATTAATGTTTCATTTTCCATCATTCTCTTGATCTCTTCAGCTCGTTTCATATACTTTTCAACATTAACATGTATATGTTGCTTTAATTCTTCCTTCATAGTTCCATCTAAATTATATATACAATTTATTTTTGAAACTTCATTATAACTACTTACATTTTGTTGCATGTATAAAATAATCTACTGCGGCCATATAGGCTTGTCTAGCTAATTCATAATTATGTGCTTCATCTTGAAAAACTGCTTGTACAATGTATTGTTCACCTTTCTATGTAATAACAAAAGTTCAGAATTTATGTCTAGAAATTTTTTTAATTGATATACTTCTATAATATTCGTTAGATCAATATTCATTATGTTAATGATTAATGTACAGTATTATAATAGATTAAATATATCTACAAATAACAAATATTGTAAATAAGTATCATAAATTATAATGAAATAAGAAAAAAGATTACAATAAACAGTCTTTTTCTTTTATTTATAAGAATATTTTATTATCAGATAAGAATCAAAATTACTCACTATGATTGCATAGCAAATGTGTGTGTGTACTTTTTTGATAGTATGAAACTCTATATGACTAGTTTCTGTTCTTCAATAAAAGTGACTCATGAAATAATACCAATGAATAATCATAACATATATATTGTAAAACAAGTACCTCATATAAATTGTTTCGAGATTTTACTAGTGTATTTATTATTATTAAAAAAATTCACCGTTACTCCTCGGATACTCTTGAATTATCTGTAAACGAAATATCAATGTCATGCGCCTTTGTTGAGAGAATATGTTGCTATAATAGTCGAATTAATCTAAATTCAGTAGAAATAATTTAGGACTCAAGCGATTAACAACAAATATTCATAAAAAAAACTAATATTAAGAGAAAATTATATAAGTATCTTTATTATCAATAATTATAAAAAAAACGAACGCCAAGAATTAATAGAATGACATAAACAGAAAAATTAATTGATACTGTTCATTTTTTTTATGAACCTTGTTGACCATATTCTTCAGTAAATTTCTGATACTTTGCCAGTTCATCACTTCCTACTGTTGGTCTTTGTGTATTAAGAGCAGCTAACATATCCGACTGAAATGATTATATATTTCAATATTTTATTTACTTAATATAATTTTTAGAATTACTTACCATAGTTACTGGTGGGTTACATAAATCATCAGGTTCTATTTTATCTAACGTCATTGATTGAGCTGCTGGATCTCCAGGTGAACAAGCAAGCCAAACATTGGTAGGTTCCTCTGGATTTTTAGTTGGATTCGGTACCTACATGATATAAATCATAAGAATGAAAAGATATATGATTTAATTGATACTGACTTGTTTAAAATGAGTTGCTTCGACAAGTCGTCGAACAGGTCTTAACAATGCTTCACGACAAACAACAGCAATATCAGCACCAGAATAACTAATACAAATAATCAATATATACTTTACTATATACAATTCAATACTTACTGTTCAGCTCTTTCTGCAAGTTCCATCCATTCATGATCATTGATTGTATGATAAGTATTAATACCTAAATGAGTTTTAAACATAGCTGCACGTTCATTTACACCAGGTAGAGGAATATAAATTCGTTTTTCAAGACTAGAATTATTCATAACAATTTATAGATGTTTATATACATATTTGTGATTGAAATCATACCGTCGTCGAATACCAGTATCTAGTTGCCAAGGAATATTGGTTGCAGCAAGAACGAGAACACCTGGACTATTTGTCTCAACACCTGTATTATCTGTTTCAGTACCTGAATTATTTGTTCCAACACCTAATAAAACGACATTAGTTATACTTATTTCTATATTCATATCATTAAACAAAAAGCATATACCGTCCATTTGAACGAGAAACTCAGTAACAACACGTTTTGATGTTTCAGTGCCTGTATCATTACGTTGTCCACATAAAGCATCGATTTCATCAATAAATACAATACATGGTTTTCGTTCGCGTGCAAGTTCAAATAGACTTTTGACAGATTGTTCAGCTTCACCAACCCATTTAGTTAGAATATCTGATGAGCTGATTGATATGAATGTACTTTTACATTCAGTAGCAATAGCTTTAGCTAAGTATGATTTGCCAGTGCCAGGAGGCTAAATTGAAAATGAAATATATGAGATAACGAAAAGTATTAAAAACTTACTCCATAAAGTAGAATACCAGCCCATGGTTTACGTTTCCCTGATATACAAGAATACGATATATTACATAGTAGCTTTGTTATTTCCTATAGAGATTTACCTGTAAAAAGCTTTGGATATTTGATTGGTAAGATGACAGCTTCTTGCAATGCGCTTTTAGCATGTTTTAATCCAACGACATCATTAAATGAGACTTGTGGATTAGAGACAATAGCACCTGATGTTAAAGAAAAATGATCATATTTATATAAAATAAATATGGTAAAATCTAACCTTCGAATTTTTGCATCCTACGCCTCTTGTCTGAATCTGCATCCTCTTCATCATTATCTCTACCACCTTTTGAATTTTCACGATGATTGGTACGACCACTGGCTACAGCCTGCTTTTTTGGTGATTGTTGTCCTGTAACTTTTTTTAATTCTTCTGCTCTCTTCAGATAAGAGTCTACAGTAGTACGTATGTTTATTTTCGTTGCTTCACTCATAGTTCCGTCTAATCAATTATATACTTTAACGTTTAAACTATTTCAAAAATCATCATAACTACTCACATTTTGTTGCATGTAGAAACCATTGTGCTGCAGCCATATAGGCTCGTATAGCTACTTCATAATTGTGGTTTTTGTCTTCTGTAGTAGCTTGTTGAGCAAGTTCAGTAGCTGTCTATAACATCGTCAAAATAGGAAATGAATCAATACAAATTAAATTGTCAAAATATACTTTTATGGTAGTCGCCAAATCCATAGTCATTGTTTCGGTAGTATCTAGAGAATAAGATCATATAAGAGAGTATGGTTGCATTGCGCAGAATGTCGAATAATTTAGAAATATCGATAGAGACAAAATGAGTAATACGTTCTCTGTCTACTCCAAATATTCATGTGTCATTTTAAAATGAGTAAGATGCAGAACAAATCACATGGTGTAAAACTATATATATATACTGTCGAATGAATTACTCATTTTCATAATAGACACCAGGGGAAAAAACAAAAAAGTATTTTTGGTTTTCTAGGGCTCAGAATTACTCAGAATTGCTTATTTGTTTTATGAGTCAGTATTGTTACTCATTCTTATCAATATATATTTTATTAACAATAAAATTTCATAGGTTTTTTTCCTTCGAATTCAGCTGATACTATGATAATTATTATTTACAAATTATTTCGAAATTTCTATCATACTTCATTATCTATTTATCGGTCTAGACAAATGTTTAAAAATAGATCACATAATTTTCAGCAACAATTACTATTGTCCGATATCTACAAACTGTTTTATAGATTCTTATCAAGTTTTAATTGTGTATCACTAATACTGAGTAGAGATACATTGATTTAGCTGTTAACTATAATAGACGATATCTAAAATAATGAATTTGAAACATCCAAATACATTCCATTCAATCATATCAGTATAGAATATAGAGTCCGATGAGGCGAGTTTGACCTGGGTGCTATGGTCAATAATCAGTAATTGGCATATTCACCTCTCCAATACATATGTATCACAAGATTATGTTTCGGAAGAAACTATTCACATTGTAATATGGAGTAATGATAGCAAATCCATGTGAGGCATAAAAGATTTATGGAAAAAACTTCTTCTCAGAATTCTTCTTTAGCCTGTGTCCTTATAATATTTAGCGACTTACCTCAGAAAGATAAAATTTTAGACGTATAAGAAAAAATATTTCTTTATTCTTTATTTTATCTCTATTTATAAAGTAAAGATAAAGTAACACTCCTAATTATAATATATTACATATAAGATACGCATATCTTTTAGAACTGAATTTATTTTATATGCCTTATCATTAGTGGTTCATTTTTTATGGTGAATCTTTATATAATAATAAACGAAACCGTATGTCAACAAAGCGTGTTGCAACTGAATTGAAAATTCTTCTTAAATCAAAATTTATATTAATTTAGAAGTTATATTGACTCTCTAAATTTTCAACTTGTACGTCTAATGTCTAACGACCAATAGCGACACGTATGTCATAACTATTCATTGGGTCAAACTAAGTATTCAATAAAGTATTTTCGTATGGTTAAAGAATACGTTCGCTGGGTGTATCTAATATGTGGTTTTGAATATTTTCTTAAAATTCATTTTTTTCACTAGAATAATCCTAATAAAATCATTATTGTCTTCTTATGTTTGTGCGATCTCAGTCTTTATTGAAGTAAGTCTGTAGTCTATTATTTGTATTTAAAAATATGATTTTTTGTTTGTAATATATATATTATCACGATTATGTATATTTCTTTTTCAGATTTACATCTTTGATTAATAATCTTTACGCTCGCACCATGAAAATCCGTCATTTCAATGCATTAGAAGATAATTATATGTATTTAATCACCGATGATAAAACAACAGAATGTGCCGTTGTTGATCCTGCCGAACCCGACGAAGTAAATTTTTTCTATTAGAAAAATATATCGAAGTTAATATTGTTTAATTTATATATCTATAGTTAGTAAAAACAATTAAGAAAGAAGGTTTAAAATTAACAACAATTCTTACAACACATCATCATTATGATCATGCTGGTGGTAATAATAAAATGCTTGAATTAATGGGTGCAGAAAAAGATCAAATAAAAGTTATTGGTGGTGATAAATCATTACAAGCTCTTACACATCCAGTAAAAGATAATGAAAAACTTCAAGTAATAAATTTTCTTGATACAAAATTTTTCAAACTAAAATCAAAATTTTGTATTTATATAGATTGGAGAACTTGAAGTAACATGTTTATCAACACCTTGTCATACAGCTGGTCACGTTTGCTATGTTGTCACTGGTTAGAAAGAAAGAAGAAAACAATTTTCTATTTTTAACTATATAAAAATGTTTTAGATGGAAAGGAACAAGCTGTTTTTACAGGTGATACTTTATTTATTGGTGGTTGTGGTAAATTTTTCGAAGGTACAGCAGCACAAATGCAATCAAGCCTTCAAAAACTGGCATCACTCGATCCAAAAACTGTATATTAAATATAATTTTTTATTATATTCAAATATAAAAAACTAATTTATATTTTAGCTTGTGTATTGTGGTCATGAATATACGAAAAAAAATCTTGAATTTGCTGCAACTGTTGAACCTGATAATCAAGATTTAAAATCTAAACAATCAAGTGTAAAATCTGTTACTATTCCATCAACAATTGGAGATGAACTTAAATTTAATCCATTTATGCGAACTAATCAAGCAAGTGTACAAGCTTTTACTGGTAAAAATGATCCAATTGAATGTATGGCTGAATTACGTGAAAGAAAAAATAAATTTTAAAAGTTTACACTCTTTTTTTTTTCATTAACTTACCAGACATTTTTTATTGATACTTAATAAACAAGCGAGAATATTTTCGATTTAAATATTCTACTCTTTCTTTTAGATGTATATAATAAGAGAGAAAAATACAGTGATTCTTTAGAAACATATCGTTGAGTTTCTTAATTTCGAGAAAAACAGAAGAATAATCGAGTTATTATACTTGTATCGGTATTTTTATGTACAGACATAATAAGTTGTGTATATGAATAAACTATTTGAAGTATGCTGCTTTTCTCATCTAGTATGATAAGTTTTTCAAGTATTTTAGACACGTATCTGTTAAAGAATCTTTTTTTCTGCGCTCTAAATGATAACAACATGGACAATAACTATTTTGTTCGATTCTTCATAAGATGAAATTTGAAGCAAAATATGTATCATATGTGTGATTCTCTTTTGTAGATTATTGACTGATTTGAAGAGTTCTTTATCTATTACGAATGATACAAGGTCGTCTATGGCGGTATTTATTAATCTTTTTCGGATTGTATCTTATACTTGGTTTGTTTCTTCTTCGTTCATTTACTTCTGATAATCGTGAAACAACAACAACACCATCTTCACCTAATGTACGCATACTTGATAATGATGGTGAAGACCTGAAAATTAATCAACATCATATTGCTGCAAGAGAAATTAATGCTAATCAAAATCAACAAGCAAATTTAAATTTAGAACCATTTATGACAAAAGGTGTATTAGGCAATTATGAACCAAAACATTTAGTTGAATCATCTGCTCCTGGTGAAAATGGTGAAGGTGTTCATTTAAAAGGTGATGATATTAAATTAGGAGAACAATCTGTTGCAGAATATGGTTTTAATGAAGTAGCAAGTGAGAAAATTTCATTAGATCGTCGAGCACGTGATACAAGGTAGAAACAAAAAAGATTATTTTTAAAAGAAAAACAAAAGCATGTATTCATTTATGTAGACCAGATGAATGTAAATATTGGAATTATCCAAGTGTTGATAAATTACCAACAGCATCAGTTATTCTTGTTTTCTATAATGAAGGTTGGTCTACATTAGTACGAACAATTCATTCTGTTATTAATACAAGTCCAAAAGAACTATTAAAAGATATTATTCTTGTTGATGATTATAGTGATCAAGAACATATAACTGTTCGTTTACCTGAATATATTCAAAGATGGAATGGTCTTGTAAAATATGTTCGAACAAAACAACGGTAAATTATTTTTCAATATATATATATGATCAATAAATTATAAATTCTATGATTTAGTGTTGGACTTGTTGAAGCTCGTATTATTGGTGCTCAGACTTGTGAAGGTGATGTTGTTGTAGTCTTAGATGCTCATTGCGAATGTGTAAGGAAATCTGTGTTATTCTTACATTACATATCATTTAAAATTTTTTTATCTTCTAAGGTAACAAATTGGTTACCACCGTTACTTACACGAATTGCTTTAAATCGTAAAACTTTAGCTGTACCTATTGTTGATGGAATTGAATGGAATACTCTTCGACATAATAAAGCATATGGTGGTACACTTTATAGAGGTATATGGGAATGGGGATTTTTATATAAAGAAGCTGAATTACCAAAACGTGAAAGAAGTTTAATGAAATATGATACTGAACCATATAAAAGTCCAACGGTAAATTGAAAAGAAAAATATCCTCTAGTATCTCAATAAACATGTTTTTTTCTTTTAGCATGCTGGTGGTTTGCTTGCTATCGATAAAAAATGGTTTTTTGAATTGGGCGGTTATGATCCGGATATTAAAATTTGGTAACTATACACTAATTCTTCAATACTATGTCGTATTTTTATTTTTTTTAAGGGGAGGTATGCATTCATTTTTATAATAATATCATGTCAATTTCGATATTCACTATTAGGTGAACAGTATGAATTAAGTTTTAAAGTATGGATGTGTGGTGGTCAGATTGAATGGTAAATAAACTAGAATATACTCTTAATTTAATTGATATATATCTATTGATTTTGAAGGGTTAGCTGCAGTCATGTTGGACATATATATCGAGGTCCACGTAAACGTAATGTTCATCCTCAAAATGCAAAGCCACAACAAAGTCATATAAATCATATGCGTGTTGCTGAAGTATCTATTTTATTTTATTTTTTTTATTCAAATCTTTATATTTAATATTAGGTTTGGATGGATGAATATAAACAATATTATTTAAATCGTCATCCACATCATGCTCATTTAGATATTGGTGATACAAGTGCATATAAAGCAATACGACAACGTTTAAATTGTTCGAATTTCCAATGGTATTTAGATAATGTTGCTTATGAAATGGCTGAAAAATATCCATTACCACCAGCAAATCTAGTATGGGGTGAAATGCGTAATGATAATTATACAAAAATATGTGCAGATGCACTTCAAAATCAATATGGTCGACCTATTGGCATCTCTGGTTGTCATCATCAAGGTGGTAATCAATTATTTCGACTTAATATTGAAGGAGAATGGTCAATAGGTGAACATTGTTTCGTATCGGAAGGTGAAACTGTTATTGCAAGGTATAAGAATATGCTTTGTTTTTGTTTGGTGACAATTATTTTATTATTATAGACATTGTGTACAAATGGGTCGATGGATTCCGAAAGGTGAATGGTCATATGATAAACAAACACGGCAAATTCGCTCAACAAAAGTTTATAAATGTGTCGCAACTGATAGTAAACGTTTATTTTTGGAAAAATGTGATGAAAAGTGTACAGCACAAAAATGGACTTGGTCTGAAATATATATATAGTTTAAACGGTGATTCTAAAAAATGCTTTAATCAAATATGAATTGTTCAAGTCTGAGAATCTCTGATTCACATCTTTTTATCATTGTTCTTTCAATAAGCTTTCACTTTTTATTTCTTTTCAATTGTGTAAATCATATTTTAATACTTTTTGAATGATCCGTTTTCTTTTTAAACACATCTATATGAATAAGTGCAAAAGATAAAAAAAACTAATAAATAAATTAATGATATTTGTAATTGATTTTCTTTAGATAATATGTTACATTTTTTAGCAAGACGTTCATATATAACTAATCGACAACTATTGCTTTTCTCTAAATCAATAATTCGTAATAGTTATTATTTAGTGTAAGTTTTATTCTTGATTATGAGAGATGATTCTATTATTTTTCATTTTAAAAGAATACCTGAACTACCACCCGTCGTTGAAGGTAGTGATTCTTTATTTTATACGGAAACATTTCCATCATTTGAACATGCAACATCACAAGCAGTTGTAAGTGGTGGCCTTCGATTATGTTCAGAAACTGATACAGCTATTCAACAACATGTGGATAAATTAGCACATGGTAAATTTAGTATTTTATTTATTCATTTACATAGTTCCTTTCTCTTTCGAAATATAGATTCATCAAAACCAACATTTGAATCTATATTTAACCCAATTGAAGATCTGAATGTACCATTTGAAACTGGCTATTATACAATTCGTCAATTAGCATTAGTTAAACAAAGAATATTTGCAAAATTATATTCAAAAGTTTGCCTATTCATCTTTTCTTCATTATTCAAATTTTTTTGTTTTTGATTTAAAATAGTTCGATAGTCATTTTGGTGTTCATCGAGAGTTTCGTTTTCAAGATCCAACTCTTTTTAATCTTGTTCAAGTATGTTGTTTTAATACTCGTTTGATATTATTTTAAAATGTTTGTACTTTCATTCTAGGAACTAAATACAAATGAAAAACGAGCAAATTTAAAAGATTGGCAACAAACATTAATAAATATTTATTTACATTTTGGAAAATTAAATGGTTGTCATTTAGAAAATGAGGAACTTGATCAATTACAATTACTTAATGGAAAACTTAGTCAACATCAATATAGTTTTTCGTAGATATTCATACATTTATTTTTATTAATCTTTATTTCTTTTTCTCTCTCGAACAGCCAAAGACTTCTTTACAATAATAAAACATTTACACATCTTGAACTTGATCCTTTTGCTTTTGATGACGTACCATATCATATTAAACAACAATTTGCTGTTGATAAGTAAAATAAGACGGAAAAATACATATTCCCTATAATAATAATTTTATTTTTTGTCATAGAGCTAAACCAGATTCAGGACCATGGAAACTTGATTTATCCGATCGAACATTTCATACAATAATGACTTATTCTGGTAATCGACCATTGAGAAAATTAATGTTTGAAGCTTATTATGGTCGTGCATCACCAGTTGTCGATCGATTAAACCGAAATGTAGAAAATATTGTTGAAATAACTCGAAAACGGTTTATTTTCTAAATTAATTATGTCATATATAAAAATAGCTTTATTTTATTTAGAAAACTAATAGCTAAATTTCTTGGTTATTCATGTTTTGCCGATATTGTTTTACAAACTAAAATGGCTCGTACAAAAGAAACAGTTCAAGATTTTATTGAAACAACTCGTTCAAAATTAAAACCAGTACATGATGAAAATATTCGTGAATTAACAGCATATGCTCAACAAAAAGCTAAGAAATCAAAAGAATATGATCAATTACAAGCATGGGATATTGCTTATTGGCGTCAACAACAATGTCAAGATTTATATTCATCATTAAAAATTGATTCATTACAAATAAGTCGATATTTTTCATATGAAAATGTTTTAAAAGGACTTTTCAATTTCGTTGAAACACTTTTTAATGTTAAATTTGAATTAGACAATAATGTTGATGAACAATATAAATGGCATAACGATGTACAAGTCTATAAATGTATAGAAAATGGTAAAAGAAATTTTTTTATTTTATTTGAAGAAAATGTATAATAATTTAGAAACTACGATTGGTCATTTATTTATTGATGCATTTGCTAGACCCTATGAAAAATCAGAAATATGTATTGGTACAGCAGGTCGAGATCGTTGTCAACGACATAATATCTTACCAATTGCTTATCTTAATATGAGTTTACCACGAATTGAAGGAACAGCGACTCTAATGACATTATCACAACTCAAAGAAATGTTTTTTGCTGTATATATTAATAATATCTTTACATCTTTTGATATCATAGTTTATCTTTTTGTTTAAGTTTGGTCGTAATCTTCAAATTCTTCTTAGTCGATCACCAAATCATGAATTATCTGGTATACGTAATCTTGAAGCTGATGCACTTGATATTGTTCCACATTTTTTTGTTCAATGTCTTCGTGATCCAAATATTCTTTCGTATATAAGTAATAATGTTGAAACAAAACAAAAACTTGATGTTTCAATTTATAATCGTGCTTTAAATCAAATTGATCAACATATGATAACACATGATGTTCTTCGACAATTATATTTAAGTGCATTTGATCTTGAAATTCATACGAATGCAACAAATTATTATGATGCGATGGTTAAATTATGGCCATTATTTACACCAATACCATTACATAATCGTGATTTTCATCCATGTAGTTTTGAACAGATCTATTGTGAACAATTAGCATCAGCTTATTATTCACATAAATGGTCAGAAATGATTGCATGTGATTTATTTAATGCTTTTAAAGAAGTAGGAATAAATAATAAAGATCAAATTTCTGTACTTGGAAAAAGGTAACGTATATATATATGTTTAATTATTATATTATTGATGTTTTCTTTTTAGATTTCGTGAAACAATCTTAGCTAGAGGTGGTACAATTAGTATGAGAGAACTTTTTCGAGAATTTCGATCACGTGACCCAAGCTATGAACATTATATTCAAAGATTAACCACTCAATTTTAGAACGTTTTTTTGTTTGTTGTTTTCTTTTTTGTAGTGTGTGCTATCTTGACACAGTTTTTTATTTAGGACAATCAGAGAATTGACGAAGAAAAGAACGAAACGTCAATAATAAAAATGTTGAATACTATACATTGACTTGACTATAAAATATCAGACATAAAAGGAAAAGAAAGGTATACAAATAATACTGTTCATTTAGTTATATATGACTGATTCATTCGATCATCAATACGTTGTAATATACTTGTCATGGAATTCATGTGTTGTTCAACTAATGTTAAACGTTCATTAAACATTTGTAAATGTTCAAGAACAGTTATTTGACCAGTACGAGGATTATTTGTTGTACGATTTGTACGAGAACGTGTTGAAAAATTACTTTGATTTGTACGTGTTAATAATGTATTATCACGAGATAATGGTACATAACCAAGTGTAGAATCAAGTCTTAAAAGGACATTATAGTTAATTTAGGTTTTTTTTCGATTCAAGTTCTTACTTTCGTTGTATATCTTTTAATCTAATCATTAATGCTTGATTATCTTCAGCAGTTTGTTTAACAAGTTCTGTCATATCACTTGGTTTTCTTGCTTCCTTTAATAATTAAATTAGATAAAAACACATACTTTTTTTCTCTTTAATTTCTAAATTACTTGAAATTTTCGACGGGCAACAAAAAATTTCATTCGTCGCATAACTCGTATTGCTTGTTTAAATTTTTCTGGTAATCTTTTAAATAATACATTCAATCTATGAAGAAAAACAAAACAATAACTTACTGATCTATTCCATTTTTATATACTAATGGTGTACTATCGAATGGTAATTGACTATCACCAGAATGATGCATAATAGTTCGTCGACGAAGAAATGAATTATCACGTGATCTTGATAACATTTTTTCAGCTGTAAAACAAAAATTTATATTCTTTATTTATAAAAATTAAACAGACCATAAGCAGGATCAACTAATCTATATAGACGCCATGTTGCATTATCTTTTTGAAGGCGACTTGTTGCATGCATACGCCAGGCTGCTTGAATTAATTGTGCTGCTGCCGGATATTGTTTATGATACATTTTTTGTTTTTCTTTTTGTTGTACATGTAGAGCAAAACCAGATCCTAAAATGCCCTAAAAATGAGGAAAACGAAAAAGAAAATATTATTTAATATTATAAATATTTTACTTACTGCTGGTAAACTAAAAAAAGCAATACCAACCATCGATAAACAAGCTGTAACAATTCGCCCCGGCCCTATTATTTTTCAATATAACATAAAAGATGAAATGTTTTTTCTTATGTATGTAATTTACATGTATGCGGAACACGATCTCCATATCCAATTGTAGCAACTAAATTGTATTAATTAGTAAACTATTTATTAAATAATATATATTTTACCAGTTACAATACCAAACCAAAGTGCATCAGCATAGGATTCAAAGGGTCTTGTTCCTTCAATAATATAATCTCGTTCAGCCAAATAAACTAAATAAGATGTAACAATAAGTACAATAAAACCCATATACATTGTTGTAATTAATTCAATTCGATGAAGATATGCAACATTAAGAAGAAGTTTCCATGAGTGTGCTTTACGATCAACATGTAACATACGTAAGATTTGAAAAAAACGAATTATTCTAAAATATATAAATGAAATTTTGTCAACAAAATAATTCGATTAATTTTACCGAAGTGCTGGTGATGCTGCCATTACTAAAAGAAATGCATATTGTATATATATATAATGTATATTAATATAATTACCTGGATTTGCAGAACCAATTCGACCTGATATATGAAATCCGATAACAACTGATGAAGCAAGTACAACAAATAGATCAATTAGACTAATTGGTGTTCTCATAAAATGAAATCTTCCAATCCATCCTTTAAATTTTGCACGACAACCAGCTGACCAAACACGAATTATATATTCTGATGCAAAAAAAACTAATAAAAACGTTTCCTACAAAAATAAAAGCAGTTAAGTTTTTTCTTCGATAAATATCTTCAAAATTTACCACATAAATAAATTTTTGTGTTATTTTTTCTTCATATTCACCAATAGTACAGATAACACCAATAACCAAACAGAAAAGAACGATAAGAAACCTATAAATACATTTTATTTAAGATATATTTCTGATTATTTTCTTTACAAAAAAAAATCAAGAACAATAGCCAGCACTATACGAACATGCAAAAGAAGAAAAGACACATTTTGTCATACAAATAATCAACTTACGAATATTTAATTCCATTAGTTTTGTTTTATACTATAAAAATATCTTGTTTTTCAAGATTTTTGTTTTTTTATTAATATTTGAAAATATTCTTTCTCTCAAATACTTACTTACACCATAAAATGATAGGCAAAACAAATCCAACCACGACTTGGTCGTTCTAAAATAAAAGAAAAAGTAAATTTTTTTATTTAATAGAAATAATTTTTACCAAGAAAGTTATAAACTTTCTTTTGAAATATTTTCATATCCATATCAAAATATAATTTTCCATCTGAACTCATTATCTATAAATATACATCATCTATATATTTGCTTTTACAATATCAGCACAAAAGCAGATTGAAATCAATGTTTTTTTATTAACCAGAAAAAGAACTTATAATACAATATTAAAAAGATTGATGTAATCGATCAGAACATAATTTTTCAATGTCATCTAAACTTAAATGATCAACAGCTTTTTTCATTTCCTAGAAATAGATACAAAGAAAAAAACATAAAAGAAGATTATTGTTTCTTTGTATTGTTTTACTCTTTGAAAAGCATTTACAAATGCTTCACGTTCATTTGCATTTTGAATCCATTTTGAAGCAAGTGAATGAAGTTCATTGAGAAATGCATTGTTTATTGGTTTTGTTGATATTGTCGAATTTGTTGATAAAATTAAATGTAATTTTGAACCATCGACAATATGATAATCTTCTAATGATCCATCATGTAATGGTTTACCTTTAAGTACTAATTTTTGTTGATTTATAGGAATATTTAATTGATTAGAAAGACGAGATTTTATTTCTTGAACTGTATCAGTTGGAGATACCTGAGATTTGAGTTTTTCTTTTATCAATAATAATGATGAAAGATAAATTAAACTTACTTCTAATTGAATTTCGGCTAATGCCGGATTGTTAAGAACTTTAATATGTATTAACATCTAGAAATGAGTGCATATAATCAAAAAATCGCGAGTGCTCAGGCAAAGACTAGCAGTGATAGATATTACATCAACAAAATTAAAGGAATAAAAAAAAACAGAACAAACATTATAACGACGAATGATTAATCAAATCCAATAAATAGTTCCTTTTTTTCAATGTTTTAATTAATAATTAAACAAATAAATTTTTAGAATTCACTAATAAAATGATTTCGAAAAATATCTTTTCAAGAAAATTTTCATATTTGTAGCGCTCGTATTTGATTGGTTATTTTAAACCAATAAAAATATTTTATTTTATTCGTTATAGACATTTCAATGTATTTTTTATGGCTGAGTTAGAACGTCCTCGATGCTGTTATAACTATATACTGATTATCTTGTTAATCTCAAAACTTGATGTTTTATTTATTTTTTTCTGGAAAAATAAGAAAAAAAAATACATGAAGAAAAAATTAGCACATTTCAGAAAGCACATCTATAGTTCCATAGCCATAACTAGAGTAAGCTACATCAAGTAAATAGTCATTGTTTATATCACCGACTGCAACAAATGATGGATATGCATGGTAACCTACAGGTATAATTGTATTGTTTATGAATGTACCATTACCCACACCATAAAGAATGGAAATATAATTGGAACTAAAACTAGCGACAACAATATCCAATTGAGTATCATTATTAAAATCACCTAGAGCGAGTGAGTAAGGATCCGATATGTAACCAGTTGAATATGTCATAGGAGATGTAAAATTTCCTTTGCCATCTCCTAAAAATATGTCAACACTACCACTAGCATAATTGGCAACAGCAATATCCAAATTTGTATCGTTATCGAAATTACCAAGAGCAACTGAATATGGTTTCGAATTATTACCCAAAGAAAACGTCGTCTGATTTGTGAATATACCAAAATCTACTCCAAAAAATACACCAATATTTCCACTGCCTGAATTAGCAACGATAACGTCAGGTAGATTATCATTATTAAGATCACCAACACTAATAGATCGTGGTGATGATTGAATTCCAGTATCATAAGTTGTTATTGGTAGATAACTTTCCAAAGGTGATCCAAGAAATACGTAAATTCGAAAATAATCGAAAACAACACAATCTAACCGATGATCTCCATTAAAATCAGCGGCAAGAACTTGTTGCGGATTATAAAATTGAGTAAGACCATATGTCAAATCGGTAGAAAAACCGCCGTTTCCATAACCAATAAAAACAGTAATAACGTTACTAAAATACAAGATATTTGATGTATTTCGACAATAATTGTATTAAGTAGTGTTCGTATTTGAAGAATCAAATCTACGACAGTTTTCTCTTAAATAATTCTCAAGCTCTAATAATTTCAGAAGTATGATAATGCCAAAGTTCCGATTATTCTACAAGTATAAGGTTTTCTGAATTTCCGAATATTACAAAATACTAATCATATGTCATAAAAAAAGAAACTTAGAATTTGTTAAAATTAGCGTACGTCAAATAAAATGAATAAACTTTTCTATTATTTTTTCCACTATATAGTTTCTGGAAAAGGTAGTAATAGTATCGATACTCTATCTTGTGCCATTCTTTTTCAAATCTACATCTTAGAAAAACTAACTTTATTCACTTACACATAACTGCAGGCAACTGCAATATCCAATGAACCGTCAGAATTTAGATCAGCCACAGTTAGTGATACAGGTTGAGATAAAGAACCAGTACTAAGAACAACTGGATCTGTAAATGTTTCATTGCCACTTCCTAAATAAACCAAAACAATACCATTGCCTTGATTAAGAACTACAATATCTTGTTGTTTATCATTATTAAAGTCACCAGTAGCCAAAAAATAGGGTGAAGTTCCAGGAAAAGTTGAATACGTTACTTCATCTGCAAATTCTCCATCACCAGAGCCTAGAAATATACCAATCGTGTTAGTGCCATTATTAGCAACAATAATGTCTAAGTAGCCATCATTATTAACATCATCAACAACTACTGACGCTGGTGCAGAGTCTGAATCGCCGTAATATGTATCTCCATCTGTAAATGTTCCATCACTATTATTTATCAATATATTGATGTCGTCGTCATCCTGATTAGCAACAACAATATCCAAGTAAGTATCATTATTAAAATCACCAAATGCGACAGACACGGGTGTCGAATCAGTTGAGTATGTCACCATATCTGCAAATGTACCATTTCCATTACCTAAAAGAATACCAATATTATCTGCATTCCTATTAGCAACAACAAGATCTAAATTAGTGTCATTGTTGAAATCAGCAACAGCTATAAATGTTGGTTTAGAATCAGGACCAACTGAATAAATTGTTGGACCTATGAATGTTCCATTATTAGATGCAAGAAATATACCAATAGTATTATCTAGACTTGCGACAAATACAATATCAGCTAAATTGTCATGATTAAAATCACCGACTGCAAGATATGCTATATTTTGTTGAGTCGAAGACGAATAAATGGTTAACGGATTTGTTATCGTCATAACACCAATATCATATGCAAGAAATATACCCATACTATTACTACCAAAGTTAGCGACAGCAAAATCTGATCGATTGTCATGGTTAAAGTCACCGATAGCTATAGCATATGGTTGTGATTTAGTACCGGTAGACAACGTCTCCATATCTCGAAAACTTCCATTTCCATATCCAAAAAATATACCAATATTGTCATTGCCAGTATTAGCAATTACAATATCTGGTATATTGTCATTATTTAAATTTCCAGAATTTATCATCCATGGATGAGAATTAACGTTAGTAGAAATAGTATATTTAGTTGTAAATGTACTGTTTGCATTGCCAAAAAATATATCGAAATTATTACTATCAGAATTAGATACTCCTACATCGAGTCTTTTATCTTGATTGAAATCGGCAATAGTCAATGATGATGGAAGCGTAGCATTAGAAGTTGAGTATTCATTCACACTACTCAATGTACCAGCATCATATCCAAAAAGAATTCCAATAAAATTTCCATAAAAATTTGAAAAAATGACATCCAGTTGATTATCGTCATTAAGATCACCAACGGCAACAAAAGTTCGGCTTGGAGTGACTTGAACTGGTTGCTGAATCAAACTAGTAAATGTTCCATTACCGAGGTTTGAAAATATACTTAAATAATTTGTGTTGCTATCACCAATGATAACATCCAATGATTTATCATTATTCAAGTCGCCAGCACAGATGACATCAGGTAGAGATTGAAGACCAGTATAATAATTATCCAAACTTGCGAATGATCCATTTCCAACTGCTATAAAAAATCCTATTCTATCTCTCGACTGTTTGGTAACTATAATATCTAAAAGAGAGTCATTATTCAAATTAGCAGCATAAACAAATGATGGATATGATAGTTCTCCAACTGAATAAGTAATTTGTGTTGCAAATGTTCCAGTGCCATCTCCAAAAAAAATACCAACTGTTTGACCATTATAATTAGCGACAACAATATCAAGGTATTTATCATTATTAAAATTACCAATAGCTATCGAATAAGGTGTAGATGAATCACCAGTTGAAAAGGTTGTTTGAGATCCAAATGATCCATTACAAAATCCCAAAAACACACCGACATTATTACCATTAGAATTGGCAACAACAATATCAAGGCATTTATCATTATTTAAATCACTAACAGCCACTGAAATTGGAGAAGACCCAGAACCAGTTGAATAGATTACGGGATATTCAAGTGACCCATTCCCATATCCTAAAAGAACCCCAATGCTATTCGATTTTTGATTAGCAACTACAATATCAAGATATGTATCATTGTTAAGATCACCAGCGGCTAGTGCATATGGTGAAGAAGACGGAGTTGTTGACTGGGATATGGAAGATGCAAGGGTTCCATTACCAAATCCCAAAAATATATTGACGTTATCAGCCCAATTATTAACGACAACAATATCCAAATGATTATCATTGTTAAAATCACCAACAATCACAGCCACCGGTGCGGATCCACTAATAAGCCAATAATTAATTTGGGCTTGTAAGTTTATACTTGGATGATTCAAGAGAATACCCACACTATCAGAATTATTATTTGCTACAATAATATCTGTTCGATTATCGTGATTAAAATCTCCAATGCTAATACACTGTGGATGAGAACCATAGCCAGTCGAAAAGGTTCTCATACTATTAAATGAACCATTGCCAATTCCTGTCCATATACCAACAGTGTCAGTACCTGAATTTGCTACTAGAATATCTTCAAATTGATCATTATTGAAGTATGTAATTACGACGTGGTGCGGACTAGAACCATTACCAGTGAATAAAGTCATTTGACTCCCGAATGTTCCATTACCATATCCTAAGAAAATACCCAGATTATTAAGTCCAGTATTTGCAACAAGAATATCTGATTGATTGTCTTTGTTAATTTCGGCAACAGTGATTGAATATGGTTGAGAACCATATCCCGTTGACAATAATTGTTGTGTTTCAAAACTACCATTTTCATATCCATAGAATATACCAATATTATTTGTACCAAAGTTAGCAACCACAATATCTTGAATATTATCGTTATTCAAATCGGCAACTGCAATTGATCGCGGATCAGAATCATAACCAGTGGAGTAAATTATTGAAGATGTAAAAATCTCATCATTTACTCCAAGCATTACTGATATACTATCACTTCCGTAGTTGGCTATTACAACATCTGGTATTTTGTCCTGATTAAAATCACCAATAGCAATATAAATTGGTCGAGAATTACCAGTTGAGAATGTGATTTGATTTTGAAATGAACCATTTCCGTTACTGAAAAATATCCCTAAGCAATTAGTTCCATAATTAGCGACAGCAATGTCGAGTAATGTATCATTATTAAAATCATTGACAATAACGAAATAAGGACGAGATGATGCACCTGTAGAATATGTTATTTGATTCCCGAAAGTTCCATCACTATTTCCGAATCTTAAACCAATATTATCTGAGCCATAATTTGCTACAACCAGATCTAAATGATTATCTCTATTGAAATCACCGATTGCTGTTGATCGCGTGTAAGGATTGTATTGAATTTTTTGGTTGAATAATGGTTTATAAGTAGGTATACATACTTGTCCTAAAATATTAACATCAATTTATCAGATGAAATACAAAAATAAAATAATAATCTTAGAATACATACCTTGATTTCTTGCTGTAGTTAAATTAACAATTATAATACCAGCAGTCATCGACATGGTGACGAAGAGAAATACACAAATACAAGTCAATCGTGAATTTAATAACTTAGAAATTTTGCTTTGTAGTAGAAAATTGCCAATATGCCATTCATAAACTTTTTCATTTAACGAAAGTTGTTGTTGTTGTTGAGTCGAAGATGAGTTTTCGATTTGTACAATTTCTCTCATTATAAAAAAAACTAATTTAATCTGAAAGAGAAATAACTCTTTAGAAAAAATAAATGTGACCAAAAATTACTGAATAAAATTGAGAATCAACAACTAGGAAATATTCTTAATTCTATCAAAATAATTCATTCCTGTTTGTGTATATACATTCAAATAATGCATGGTATTGACGAGTGGATAAAATTTATTTATTAGAAAAGATTTTCTCGAAGAACTAATCGATTTCAAAAATCTACATACAATAATAACAAATTGTAAATATCAATAAAACTCCACTATAACACATATTTGTACTTCTATGTTTAAATGAATCTTTAGAAAACTCAATTATATCAGTTGTTAAATAAGAATGTCTAATATATGCCGAAAACGAAAGAAAAAAAAATGAAATTATTAACAAAATTATTTCTCCTGAGATACTGTTGATTCTAATCGTTAGATGTTAAAAATAAATTGTAGTCAATAATAAATAAACTTGAATCAATATGTAATCTACTAAATCTTAATAAACATAATTCTTAAATTTATCCTACAATTTTTTCAGTCATTTTTTGTTAGAAAAAAAACACGAGGTATTTATACAGGGAGAAGACAATATTTTCCTCTGATTCACAATGATATGGTGGAGAAGCACTAAGTAGATCGAAAGAAACAAAAAAAACATATATATACATATCCGTACGTCTATAACAGATTCCTTATCTATTTCTCGAAACTAAAACAATTTGAGACTATTGATCATCAAATCTTAATCTTTGTTTAAAAAAATAAATCTCTACAAATCAAAAATATAAATACAAACCGAAAATATAAAAAAATATTTGTTTTACTGACTATTATCATTCGATTAGAATGACGACTAAATAATATTTCGAAAGGTAAAAGAAATGACATTTGGTCCAAATGGTAATTAAAGTCAGTTCATAACGTTGGCAATATGATTTACATTATATCCAATCGATCATATTATTTCATATGTCTAATATGCGTGATAAATAGAAAAAATCAAAAGAAAAAATATATGAATGTTATTTAAAAGTATTTACGGTGTGTTATTCATAAATATTATCATTCATATTTGTTTTTGTTTATATACGCAAAATATCGATAATAGTTATGAAATATTGCATAGATAATAGAGAATGACAGAATTGATTTTAGAAAATTATTTTGTACAAAAACAACAAAAAAGTATCAAATTCTTTGACGATGTTTGTTTTTAGTCAAACAATTGAATCGTAATATCAAATATATAGCACTCACCATAGTTTTGCATTTCATTAATAAATCTATATACACTTATTTTCAAGCAGATTCAATAGAAGATTATCTGTCGACATAAAAAATTGAAAAGATGAATATCTATTTAATTATATAGTTACCATCAAATATATTATGTCAATATATACAGAATTTTCTGAGATAATATTCATCGAATGCAATAATATGAGAGTGGAAAGAATTCCACTCTCATAAATGAGCAAAAAAACTGATTTCAAAATTAAAAATATATTGTCGACAGTTGATGAAATATATATCAAATGAAAATAATAAATTGATTTCATTAACACTCATTATTCATTTATTGATAAAGAGAAATATTTGAATAAATTACACAAAGTATTTTGTTATCTCAAGAAAAGAATCGAATATATTTCGATATTATAAGGAGCGAAAAATAATAATCCTTCGCTTGTCACGTTTATTTTTCTGTTCTTGGCTCATTTTATGTGTAGAATAAAATATATCGATGGGCGCTTTCTTTCGTCTTGTTACATTAATACATAAATTATGATCAATAAATAATGATATCGATGATAAAACGTGTTTCGTAAATGAATATTATATTTTTTCTATTCTTTTTTTGGTTGTATTTACAATTTTGTTTTTTAATTAATAAAAATATCGAATAATATATATTTTCTTTTTCGTCATTGATTTCTAAAACAAAGAACACACAACAATTACATTTTTGTATTTGATAATAAAGAAAAAACAAGAATCAAGATGTAATTCTATCGATTCATTAATTAAAATAAAATTTTGCATTTTAACTAGTGTTGTTGTAAATGTCTAAATTAGTATAAGTCTTTATATTCAAAATATTTTTTCTTTAGACAATAGTTCTAAAAAGGTAATTCATTTTGTATGAATTCTAGAGTTTTAGAATAGGGCCACTGGTGAAGGTTTTTAATGTGCACTACTTACAAAATAAATGTGCTTTTTTTTGTTAGTGATGATATTATCTCTTATCTTTGAAGAAAGTTGAAAAAAGTGAATTCTTTTTCTTTTTGCTGTTTTTTTGTACTCACCTGGCTCTATAATTTATATGAAATGATACGGAGGACAAAGTTCTATTATGTTTCATCAAAATAAAATAAAATAAAAAATGATAATTAATGGCGTCTTAAAAATATTGAGATAAAGAGATCTAATTGTCATATGAATAACGATATTCGTTTGTTTATTTAACCATTTATTAGTCAGCTTTTCAACTACCTACAATTATCAACATATATACGTATCATGGGCTCGAAACCTTCAAAATCGAGCGTAAAATCGTCTTATGAAGTAATAACGTCATATATTCGTCAACCACCACAACGTATGGCTACAAACTATCTTCTCGTTTGGATAGATGCCAGTATCGACGAAGGAAAAAAGGATTGTCAAGATACACTCATCCAATTGAAGAATGTGATCAATGATGTCAAGTTATGCACTGAATCGAATCAATGCATCCAAGTACTCAACGAGTCTGACAAGGAACGAGCCTTTGTTATAGCATCAGACTCATTAGGTCAAGATTTAGTTTCTGAAATTCATAATATGTCACAACTAGATACCATTTACATCTTTTGTGATAACAAATCCAGGCATGAGGAATGGACTCAAAACTGGACAAAAATTAAAGGTGTTCATACAAATATGAAACAAATATGTCAAGCATTAAAATTGGCTGTTAAGCAGTGTGACCAGGACACAATCGCCGTAAGTTTTCTTACGATAAGCGAATTGGCTTCAACTGAGGATTTAAGTCAGTTGGAGCCAAATTTTATTTACACACAGATATGCAAGGAAATTCTCCTTGATATCAAATATGGTTATAAAGCAATCCAGAACTTCGCAACTTGTTGTCGCGAAGTCTTTACTGGCAATTCAATTGAACTAATAGTTATTAATGAATTCGAACGTGATTATCATCCACAAAAAGCAATATGGTGGTATACACGTGAGTGTTTTATCTACAAAATGCTTAATCAAGCGCTTCGAATTATGGATGCAGATATAATCATTAATATGGGTTTTTTTCTACATGATGTACATCAACAAATTCAACAGTTGTACGAACAGCAGGTCAGTCGTTATGGAGGAAAGCCTTTTATAGTTTATCGAGGACAAGGTCTTATGAAATCAGACTTTGAAAAACTTCAGAAAACAAAAGGTGGACTTATATCATTTAACAACTTCTTGTCCACTAGTACAGATACAGAAATGTCCTTCCGTTATGCTCGAGATGCTTCAACAAAATCAGATATGGTCGGCATTCTGTTTATAATGTC